ACAAATACGATAAAAATCAACAAGTTGGTGTAATTTACTTAGATTTGGAAACGGCTTTTGACAAAGTTCCGCAAAATCTCCTTTTGCTTAGGCTCGAACATAAATTAAATAAATGTAAAAGACTTTTAATTCTGATTTCTGTGTGCTTAGCTTTTGGTTTCCGTTTATCTGGAATTTTATATATTATATTTTGTATTTTTTATGTAGCATAATGCTAAATAAAGATTATATTATTATTACTAAACGAAGTGAAGGGAGACACATATTTCAAAAGTAGTTAAATAGGTTAATTCTTTGGTGTTTTGTATGAAGAAGACCTTCCTTAATAGAGCATCTAGGCCATAGTAAAACTTTATGTTTTTCATTCGTCCAAAATTAGAATATGGCCAGACAATAAGACATTGACATGCTCGAGCGCGTTCGAAGAAGAATAACAAAACTTCCATTTATCTAATGGTTCCTATGAGGAAAGACTTGAATCTTGAAAGAAAGAAGATTACGTGGCGATCTAATTGAGACTTACAAGATGATACAAAAGTATTACTCATGTGAACTGAACATCTATCAAAATGACCCGAAAATCCATCTACGAGGTCACTCCCAAAATTGACCAAAGAAACTAGAGAGAAAAAACATCCTACATTATAATCAACAACCCTTTTTTCTTCCTTGTTCTCTTTTGTAAAAATCTTTTTCTTTTTTGTCATATCATTGAAGACACAGACATATATTATATATATATTATATAGATTTTCACGAAATCACACATGACAATTGTTGCGACAACAAGGTGTCTTTATCAAATGTAATATTTACAAACTACCTACTACTATATATACCGAAAAATGACCATTAAACCTTAATTAATGTCGTTGCCAGAATTTAAGTTCAATAAAGGGGTGGTATTTAAATCTAATTGATCGTTAAGCAATACATTTGAATGGGTCATGGAAGATGGAAGAAACAGAATAGGACTTTACATACATACATATATAGTTGGCTACTAAATATTCTTCAAAACGAGGAAGGGGGGGGCATATTACGTCACCGACGGACCCAATTTAAATAGACCGGAGTGAGAAGAGCCAAAAGGTCCACCTACACGATCTAAAACACGTCAATATTAACGTCCGGACAAAAGACAACAGTAATCGTCCCAATGACATACGATTATCTATAAATATCAATCTATTTAAGTGTGTGGTGTCGCGTCTCTGCCGCGCGGGACACGTAGAGAAGAGCAGGGGACACGTGGCCCGAAGGGTTGTGCCACCCGATACGTCACGTGATCGCGTCGGATGCAATTAGACGACCGCCGTCACGCGATTTCGCGGGATGCCCCCTCGACCGACGAATGATTTGTTTAAATTCGCCCGAGCCCCCGCAGTTCGAGCTACTGGAGCTTGAATGTGATGTTTTCGAAAATATTCTCTTTACGAAAAGCGTTATGGCGGTGTTTCTCAACGTGGCGGGCGGTGGGGCAACGTAGAATGGCGGTTTCGAGTTCCTGCCCCTTTTTTCGCCCCGTCTACTGTGCTCGGTCTACATATGAACACAACTTATACTTATAGTTACATCACGAAATGCGGGATGTAAGCTCATTGAACTCAGCTACTCAGCTGAATTTCACAAAATCACCGGTTATCAACTCTCTTGTTTACAGAGTCGTAAAACTATCTCAGCCCGAGTCACTGAACGCAGAATTAAAACACTTTACCTCTGCCCTTCTCTCTATTAATTTCCACATTAAAGATATTATGCGTTACATCAAGAAATACACTTCACCACAATCTTCCAATAGCAATGAGGCCGAAAGCAATCCGACACTTGACACGGTGGTAGTTCCTTATATTCAAACATAATCTAAAGAAGTATAACGTCAAAACCAGATATACCACTTGTCCAAAAATCTCTCAACATGTTCGGTCCTTCAAAGACAAAATTCCATTTGAGATGCCAGGAGTTTACAGCATTCCATGCATACATTGGAGAGACCGGACGAAAAATATCAACTAGACTCAAAGAACACGAAAGAGCCGTACGACTAAGACAGATAAACTCATCAGCTGTTGCCGAACACACCCATGAGACCGGACATAAAATTTTATTCGATAAAACTAAAATTCTTGCATGTAATCAGTTCTACCAACGAAAAAATCCGAGAGTCTATAGAAATCTATAAACAACCTAACAATCTTAACCGCGACTCACGCCTATACCTGTCACCAATATGGGAATCAGCCATCCCAGACGGTGTTTATGTCCCTCATTTAGCTCCGCCCCCCTCAAACAATATATAAGCAGGTACAGAGTAAAATACTAGCCAGTTTCAGTCAAGCTCTGAAGAAGCCGACAGGATGATTGGCGAAACGTCAGCCAGTTCGACTCTTGTCTAACACTTTTATAAAATTGCAGCTGTTTACACTCGCTTTACTTATTGCCTTTGCTTGCATTTGAAAAATCGTTCAGCACAAAAACACTAACTTTAAATACTTTTTTTATTGACAGCATTTTACTCAAGACAGGCCGGGAAATTTTGGCGCTGCCTTCGTATCTAAAGAATCCAAAAAATTGTCTATTTTCGACTCCCCACTTAAATCTAATTTATCCCCATCAAGGCTTTACTCATGGGAATTCAATAAATCTTGAACTTCAGGCGGCAGCTATTTTATCTTCAATTATGATTTTCCTGTTTTAAGGGACAACGAAGATATGAAGGTGTCTGAGGTATCCGACAATGATATTCGATGATCGATAGTCTTTTTTTGGTCTCCAATATATGATTATAGGCTGGATATATGTCGCAATTTCGTGCCTGCGCGCCCAATCGGATAGCCAATTATTGTTGTTTCGACGATTTCGCTTCTTCAGAGCCGCACTTGATAGGTTTTTTTTGGTAGCAAATAATATGTTTTTGATTTTTCGGAGTTGTCGGACTTTTCAAAACACACGACAAATCTTTGCAGCAAGCACCGCCGCATTTGCTATTAAATGATTGTGGTGATTTGTTTCCCAAGATAACTGTAGGGCATCTCTTCTCTGCGATGGGGCACTTTTTTCATAAAAAGGTATCTTTGGACGCCCCACTGACACTTGTTCACGCTGTATCCAATACAATGTGGACACGGACTTTTACTTCTCGGCTAAATTTGAAGTTGATATCTGCAAATTTAGGACACTTAACGCATTTCTCATTTAGCACGGAATATCGGGAACACCCTGTACAATAGGCGAAAACCTTAAATACAAAAATTTTTGCTGTCTATGCGGGCTACATCGCAATATAAAAGACAGCGAGATCTGAATCATAGTCTTTTAGTTATAACCCATGTTTCAGTTTTTTTGAATTTGCGGCGCACCCTGTATATTTTTAAAAAATTGTCAAGAATAAAATTTATAATAGAGCCGTATCTTCTGCTTCTTCTGGTTCAAGAATTTTTTTGGTCTCGCACGATGTTTTATTATTTTTTATCGCAGTCGGAAAACGAATGAAGCTTTTATTAAAACAAGCAAAGACTTGACTTTCAAAGTCAAAGCCAACTTTGTGATACCGGCGCACAGCCGCCCATGCATTTTTCATCTAAACTTTCGTAGTTACCCTTACGTTTTGTTGTCATTGTGGTAACAGCCATAACTTCGCTTTTCAGATTAGACATTTTTGTGGACTATATCCTAATGTGCATGGGGGCAATTTGATAACAAAAAATGCAAAATCATAAAAAATTGATGTAAATAATTATTAGGTATTATTAGGTATAATAAGAACTCATGAAACCACTATGGAAAAATTTGTGAGAATCCTGACGTGGGACCCATAAGACCTTGCGGCTTTCAACAAACAACATGGCCGCTGACAGACCGTCGATGTTTGGATGCGGCATTTTTACGGCAGTATTTTCTCAAAATGTGCCGCAATATTATTAAATTATCAGGCAAAAATGAGTTGAAAAAAAAAGTTTAAAAAGTTAAAAAAAAGCAGTGCAGAACTGCAGCACCCAGGTCGGCGTCAGTATAATTTGACGTTTTTGTTCTTCAAGCCCTGTGGATACGATGCAATTTCTACATGTACTTTTTTATGTAAGCTCTTTTTTTGTAAATGGGAGTAAGGCGTTATTTTTCATAAACTTGTAGGTTTAACCTCTATCGAAATAACTTTGAGATGCTAGATATCGCACATGAATCATCTAAATGAAAAAATGTTCACGAAGCACCTCCTATAGTTCTGGTGGATGGTGTTTTTCAGAGACCAGTAATGTGCTTTCTGGGTGCCCCAAGGCTCTATACTTAATCCTCTATTTTTTCTAATCTACAGTACTCTAACTCAGGAAAAGTTTTGCTGATAACACACAGCTTTATTATCACTTTCCATGCACTGAGATTCATTCTTTCCCAGAGGGTAAGCAAATTTAATGCTGTAGAATAATGTTTAAAGACGAAAATATAAAAAAATGTTTCATTGGGGTCGATCTTCAATATTTATTAATTTGTTTTTTAGCTTTATAGGGATAAAAGTTTATTGTGTAACAATTTAGGTGTTAAATAAATTTTTTTCTATTTAGTCGTATTCGCCCTCGCAAGAGGGTTTCAACGTCCCCCATTTTAAAAGAGGTCCCGCTACACACGCTGTTTTCCCTTCGAAACTGTATAAATGCTCTTAAATATCGTCTTGGCAGGTAATTCCATATTTCTCTGTTAAAAGCGATTTCCTAAAACAAAAGAGATGGTTGCTTCATTAGCGCCTTTAACGGCCAACCGTTTCAACTTAACGCGACAATTTATATTTAAGCATTAATTTAAATCTCTAACTTATTTAACGTAATTAAATATCAAAGTAGGTTATAAATCAGCCTGACATTAAATTTAACTAACCTATATTGAAACGATTTAACACGGCGGACAAAAATTTATACATCCCTCGACATCCGTCAAAAATAACAACTAAATCTTTTATTCATGATTTATTTTTATAAATGACAAAGGCACAGTTTATGTTTATATCAAAATCATAAACGTTTTAAATCTGCGTAAAGCAGCAGTTCACGATGGCCACGATGAATCGTCTTCAACTTTTCATGTAACTAACTGGCTGCCTGATATCTATTCGTAACACTCTCACTAGGTTTAACATAAACTCACGCACCGTAAAACTGATTTTTTTAATTCTGAAGGAACACCAAAAAACACTCCTCTGGCTGTCCGCGCCATCTATCGACGACACGTCCAAGTTACCTGACCGCAAGTCCGCGCGCCCGCTGCGAGATGTCGCGCGACGCGCTTCATCGGTCCGGCCAAGCGACGCGTGTCTCGATTGAACCGCCGCTCGCCAGATGGCTGCCCAAGCCACAACGACCAGACTAATCGCGGTTTCTCTGCTGCGTGACTCAATCCTTTTAAAAATTCCGATCACGCGTTCTTGCGGCTTGACTCACCGACCTCGACCCAGGTGGAAAGGCTTCTTACGGCAAGATTATCGATGGCTGCGTCGAATTCAACACGTCGACTCTCGGGGCACCTTAAGGAACCTGACCATGTGCGCCCGGCTAATCTGACGGATCGATAACGCCTGCGACCAGAGGCGTGCCCGCGTTAGAACGACTCCGTCGACGGTAATTTCGCAAGAGGCCGGCGATACGAGTCGCCCGTGTCTGCCCACACCGGCGTACTTGCCCAAGCGAGAACCGACACTTCCTAAACGGCTGGCGAACCCCGTCGCATTCTCACACGGTGAGCGAGAGAAGTCGCGTCACCCTTGGAAACGTTTTTTGACGCGAGTGTCAGATCGACGGCGTAGGATTTCGTGCGGTAATGCGCAAAAAGCGGTGAATTTTCGAAACGAATCCGAGTTCTGCGGCTAAACGGGGACGTAAACATGGAATTCAAGTTCAACTTGGGCGACGTCTTCGACGGGAGGGACGTCGTCGAGATCGGCAACACGCTGATCCCACCCGGCTTCAGCGGCGACAAAAGGGCCTTGTGGTGAGTGAATTGGGACGTTTCTATCGATTGGATATCGCGGTTTGTGTTAATTCGACGTCGTGCTAGATAACGGCGTGAAAATTTTCGCTGTCGGATGTTTCGTCGCTGAGCGCCGTCAACTCGAGTGCTGTAGATTATTTTTTGTGTCGTGTTATTGTCTATAACATTTTAAAATAACATACGCCGAATATACGTTTTTTAACACCTTTATTTCCGTGACCTTCTACTAGCACGGCTACTATAGAACAGAGTCCCCGCGAACCATGGAATCTCCCTGGTTGCATCGGTTGCCTGATAGGCCAACCTTTAAAAAACTAACCAAAACAGGAACTGTGGTAGTTTTTCTCGTCCAAAAGGCCCGCGGGTTTAAAGTCGAGCGTAACTTGAATCCCTGAGGTTCGAGTGTATGTGTAAACTGCGCTTCGCATGCGCGCGTACATTTCAAGTTCGGGAATTTCAGTTCCGCGTAAATTTAAAGCGAAAATGTAAATGTACGCCCCGCCATAGGTTCATTTTTCTGAGCATTCATAATGTATTTCGCTGAGCTATTTTGACTCGTGTACAGCGTGTACATTTTAGCGCGGGTAGCGGCTCAGAGGCGCGTGCGTGTCGAAAAAAGTCAAACCGCGACGGCTTATCGTAATTACGCCGTATTATGCATCTCGTGATGTCGGAAAATGGGAAATTATCGCGACCGGGGGTGGCGTGCGAGTTTTTTTCCGCGGACTACACGCCAACGCGATGGCGACGCGTACGCTCGCGAGATACCGTTCACCTTGGCAATAACCCGAAGGCGAGGGGGCCCACGCGTGAGAATCATCACCGAAACTATTAACCCAGTTTCGCAAATCTATTTCCGCGTATTCGGAAGAATGTCGGCACGACACGCGAGCCTGCCGTCTCGTCCTGAGATTTTTTGTTTTATTTTGCACGCCCTGTATCGCAGTCTCTGCTTTGTAAAAATTTGTAAAAGCAGTTGTATCGAGGGCGCGTTTTTTAGGTTCGCGCCCCGATCGGTTTATCGACTCCCGAATAGAATCGGGTGTGACGTCGGCACGCTCATTCTTTCGACGTACAAAAGTCTAATCGGGTACGGGGCTGTAATGTACGCCGACGGATCATTCGAAACGCTTTCAATTGGCCGTTAAATGTACACCCTGGGCCGTTCGCGCAAACGCTTTGGTAATTGTTTATCCCGCACCTGAATTACTCAGTTTTAGATCGTCTCATAATGTCAGACTTGGTCGTCCCGCTACCCGCTTAAACTGTAAAATTTTACACACTCCGTACATTTGATAATTGGAAAACTTCCCGGTGTGTACATTTGGTTGCGCAAACGCGTTTCAAACTGTTTAAAAAAAAATCACTCGAACCTGAACGACACCGTAGACGTAAATAGCTTATGTACTTAATACATTTGCAGAACCGAATAGGAACGGCTCGCATCAGCGTGTGTAATTTCTCGTTGCTCAGGGCGCGCGTTTAACAGCTCAGAGCGTGTTCATAAAACACGATAAAAACGCGTAATTCACAGGCTCATTGTGGAATGTACAAATTTGCTCAGGGTGCATGTTTACCAGCTATAGAAACGAATAAAACCGCATCAGCGTTGGGGTGAAGCGCAAATCGGCTCAGAGCGTGTTCATAAAGCCCGATAAAAACGCTGCAATGTATATAATGTACAAATCGGCTCAAGGAGCGCGTTTAACAGCTCAGAGCGTGCCCACAAAACCCGATTAAAACGCCTCAGCGTATATAATTTGTACATTTTGCAATGTACAAATTGGCTCGGGGTGCGCGTTTACCGGCTATGGAACCGGATAAAACCGGATCAGCGTGGACTTCTCTTTGGGGTGAAGCGCAAATCGGCTCGTGGCGCGCGTTGAAGGGCTCAGAATGTACACAGCGTTTACAATATATCGCTGGGCGTACAAATCGGCTCAGGACGCGCGTTCGACCGCTCAGAACGTGTTTAATTTCAGGGACACCCAGTCGAAAGTGTCGCAGATCGTCAACGCGATGGGGGAGGCGTCCGCCGCCGCGCAGGGCCTGTCCAAGCCGATCACCACGTCGGACAGACTGCGTAATTCGGAACACAAGCTGTACCTGCTGATCGACGAATCGGCCAACAAGTAAGGGGGCACGGGGGGGAGTACGCTTATTATTCTTAGTCGAGAACGCGTAGAAAATACGGTAAAACGAAGAAACGCGGCGGAGCGTGTCCGATCTCGTCGCAGTCAACCGCGGAAACAAAAGCACAAAAAAAGTAAATAAAACGGCGACCACGAAAACTAGAAAGCGACGAGTCGGTTTCGCTCGGTGGATTTCGCCAGTTAAATATTCCGTACGGTTCACCGATTGAGCGTCCCGACGTCGATCGGTTACGTCACGCGTCCCCCACCCGGGGGAGGCTTCTTTTTTTTTGCAGAAACCTTGACACGGCCGTCCCGGGGCGGGTTGCGGATATCCCGGAGACCACTATACCCTAATTAGCTCGAAAAACTGCTAGATAAAGGCGCGGTTGCCAGATCGCGTCGAAATTAACGAGTAACGGGGAATTCCGGCTGCAGGTGCCGTTCCGTCAAGCTTATCGCGATTATTAGAAAGCTACCGTACGGTTTCGCCCGTATATTTCGATCGTCAGGTGTTTCGCGTTCCCATGGCCCCCCATTACGGAAGCGATGATAATAATAACATTCGACATTGATTACGCGCGGTCAGGCCTTTTAATTCGTATGCGGGAATTGATTTCGACGGCGAGGTGGTAAACTGTGAGAGCCTCCTTGATGACTTGACAACCGAAGGAAGCGAAGGATGTAAAATTTTAACTGTCATCCAAAGATACGTTTTGATTTGAAAATTAACAAATGTAATAGATCTTTATTTAGAGCAAAACCTAATAAAACTACAATAATATTAAGAATTAGTCATATATTTTATCCCAAATTAACCTAGTAATTAAGTATTAGCAAGGTAATTAGGTAAAAGTAATCTCGTAATCTCACTTACTGTAAAAGAAAACTTAATGTAACTAATAAATTGTACGTAATAACAAAAACCGCATTTTCGCAAATATTTTGACATAAAATTAACATAAAAACGACCAGCAATTTGTTTTTTTCTTCCTAAGCGTGTTAAAACGGCGTAAAAATAATAAAAAAAATATTTTATATATTCGACCATGTCCCAATATTACGCGTACCAAGCAACGTAAATGGCGAGCAGTGGCAGAAGTTTCTAGTTAAGCGGGCCGACCTTCGATTACGAAACATCCTGTACATACCCAATTTAAGTAACGCTCGCGTCGCAATTAAAACGAAAGCCGTGCGATCTAGTTTGCCCGAACAAAAGAACGACGACGCGACGGTCTTCTTTTCCTCTTTATGTCTATGGTCAAGACTACCGGGTTCATTCGGCCATGCCATGTTTTTATATCGGAAAAAGTGAGGTTATGGATCATGCGATGATCCGTATATATATATGTATATATACCTTCCGGGGTATAAAAATGGCCGTTTTGCAGCGGGAAGGGCGCTGTCACGGGGATGCTGAAGACCGGCGAGAAAGGGTTATATGTATTCGACCGAGACGGCCGCCATTACCAGGTATCGCCGCATTGCGTCCTCGACTTTTACGTGCACGAGTCGAAGCAGAGGTCGGGCCTCGGCAAGAAACTGTTCGAGTACATGCTCCAGGTGAGCGAATGATAAACCGTGACGTCATTGACGAACCCCGTATTAAAAAAAAAAACGATTTTTTGACGTTTGCGAAGCGGGAACATGTCGAACCGGTCAAGATGGCGATCGACCGGCCCAGCGAGAAGCTCCTCGGGTTCCTGCATAAGCACTACGACCTGACCGCGCCCGTGAAACAGATGAACAACTACGTGGTGTTTGACGGCTTCTTCCCCAAACCGTCGGAGACCGGCGCCGGCAGTCCGGCGCCCCCCGACTCCGCGAACCATTTAAGGTACGATTACGGCCCTTAAAGGTTCCCTACGCAAGTACTAACACTACTTAACCTCAATAACGCCGCAGGCCCAGCAGGAAAGAGTCGGCCAACGGGCTGCAGCAGCACCCGGCTTCGCCGTACGGGAGGTACGCCGCCCCCCGGCCCCCGTGCAGCATGGGGCAGGTATACTAATCCCGAAGGGTCATCGTTAACCTTAACCCCACTAACCGTCTCATTACAGATCATCCATAACGATTCGTCGGTGATTAAGAGGGGCCGAGAGGCGACGGGGTGAGTTTGTACGGTGTTGCAAGGCCGCGCGCGTTGTTAAAGGTGTCGAAAGTTCGATAACTCTTAGAGGACACACGAATTTATAATAACCAAGCGACCTGGCGTCGGAACATTTTTTTCTTCCCGTCCGTCCGTTCTTTGAAAAATTTTTTTTCGGGTTCGCGGGCGCTCGATTTTTTCGAAAACCGTCGCACAGCGGTCAAAATCCCCACTTGTTGGATTCGTACCAAAAATTGATATCTCTGGTCCGTAATATGCTCAAAAAAATGTAATTTTCAAAATGGCGGTTGACATTTGGCTAATTTGACAAAAAAACGCCTTCTGAAAAAACCATATTGAAATTTTTCAAACCGTAATGCTGCAATAAGTAATAAAAATAATGACCTGGCGCCGGAGGGGGGTTAATCATAAGGGTTACGTTGAGAAACAAAATCTAAAAAATATTTACAAATTGTGCCTTAAGTGTCGCAGATTATTCAACATTTCTTAGGTATCTGGAGGGTAGTTTAAACCTTGACCCTTGCGATTCAATATATTTATTGTTACCAGAGAAACTAAAAGATTTTAAGAATTTAAGGTAAATTTAAGGACTGCTTACTAATTATTACTCGGAATTTGAGTATTACTGATTAATCTAAATTTAAGTACTACCAATTAATTATAATTCTGAATCATTCTCACTCAACTCGGAATCAACGTGAAAGTCATTATCTTCATCTGAGTCCGAAAATTGTTTCAGTTTTTTCTTTAGAAGTTTCCTAAGGCTAGGATCGGAGGATACAAGAAGTCTAGCGCAAATATCTTCCATTGTTTTTACACGAGGAAACTTTCGAGAGAAATCTTCACGATAATTCTTTATCTCTTTATTTTTGGTCTCTTAAGCGTCCTCGGATAATTGTCCAATTGGTAATAGAGACTTCGCCGTTTTCGAAAAAACGTCGAGCTGTATCGCCATCATCGGAACTACCAAATCCGGGTTTTGCCTTGTCAACTATAAGCCCCAACTTTAACCGAAATTCTCGTTGAACCTCTTTTTTCCTACCATTCAAATCCTTGCTTGTGGCTCCACATCTTTTTGATGATTTCGTTTCAGTGATCGACCATTGGAAGATGCGTGATGTAAGATATATAATTTTTTTTGTGTTTAAAAGTACATTCGAATCGTAAAAGTATATTTATTTGGCTTCTATCGTTTCTTGCGAAGTGGTCTACGAAATCGTGGATATGATGTTCTGGGATTCTTCCAAAAAATATATTGGCCGGAGCTTCCATCACATCCCCATCTACAAGAAAGTTGCAGGTTCTGCAAGTTTGCATCGGTCAGCGAGGCGTAGACTTTGAGAAAGCCTGAACGCAGTTAATATCGAAAGAGCCTTTTCACTGGACAAACGAGTTTCAGTTGCTACTTCGAAGCTTTTGCAAAATTTGGAAGTTCTTCGGTTTTTCTTCGTTTTGATCTATCGCTGGATGACGGAAATTCTTTTGTTTTTGCCCGGTCTTGTTGATTTTGGAAAAATTGAGTACCAAATGATGCCTTCTTTCAGTAATCATCCTTTTTAGATGATTGATTAAATTAGATAACCCGTCCCACGGGCTGTCCTTCACCATTTCATAAATGTAGGTATCACTATTGCATGTAGTATATCATATTTTGTGAAATCTGTATTCGATTTTTTTTTTGGTTTTATATACAGGGTTTTTAACGTTATTCTCATTGTTTTTAGTTTTAAAATTGAACCCGTGTACAAGGTTATGAGTTAATTACTAATTTTCTCTAAACAAAAGTGTCGCTATACTTTTTTTCTGTGGCCGGAGTTGCGTCTAGTGGCTGCAGAATTGCACCAAATTGAGTAATATTTAATTATTACATAGGAACATTTTACATAAATATTTGAGAACTACATTTAATGTTTAATCTCGTACTTTAATTGTAGTTTCACCATTTTTTCGAGAATGGCATCTTTCCCATGATATATAAAAAATTTCTCTAGGAGCTTAACTGAATATAGGGCTTGTTGAATGGTTGGTGGTGGTCCCAGATTAACTTCTTCCTCTTGGTGCTCTTCCTCACCCCTTCTGCTGTTGTAGGCAAATCCTGATCTATTGGGTTGTTCGGAAAGTCATTTCGTTTTTTTTGGGGAACATGAAAGACAGTTTTCGTATAATGAATAAATATTTTATTAAATTATATATTGGCCATTCTGGTCCAACACCTTTTGCCATCTTTCTGGCAGTAACATAATTCCCCTCTCATAAAAGTTTTGGTCCTTGCTGGCAAAAAACTGGTTCAGGTGGTTTTTGACATCTTCTTTTGAGGTAAAGGTTTTGCCATCCAAAAAATTTTGCAGGGACCGGAACAAATAGTAGTCGGAAGGCGCCAGATCTGGAGAATATGGTGGATGTTGCAGTACGTCCAATTCAAGCTGTAAAAGTTTTTGGCGAGTGACCAAACTTGTGTGAGGTCTCGCATTATCCTGGTGGAACACTACACCCTTCCTGTTGATTAATTCGGGCCTCTTCTCTTTAAGTGAATCATTCAATTTGTCCAGTTGATGATAATAGACTTCTGAATTAATCGTTGTATTGTCCGGCAAAAGCTCAAAAAAAAACGATTCCTTTGACATCCCACCAAACGGAGAGCATCACCTTTTTTTGGTGAATGTTGCCTTTTGACACGCTTTGAGCCGGTTCATCTTTTCTGCTCCATGACCTCTTGCGTTTAACATCGTTGTATACGACCCATTTTTCGTCCCCAGTAATAATCCGCTTCAAAAATGGATCATTTTCTTGACGTTTGAGGAGCGAATCACACACGTCAACGCGACGACACAAATTTCGCTCCGTAAGGACATGGGGCACCCACACATCGAGCTTCGAGGTTAAGCCCGTGCCTTTCAAATGGCCATAAACAGTCGAATTCGACAAATTTAATCTCTCACCGATCTCTCGTGTGGTTATTCGCCGATTTGCATCAACTAATGCCTTTATCGCATCTTTGTCAGCTTCGACCGGTCTTCCAGACCGTGGTGCATCTTCGACATCAAAATTGCCAGATCGAAATTTTGCAAACCAGTTCTGGCACTGGCGTACTGTTAACACGCTTGGATAGCATTTTTACCTTTTCTGAAGTAAAAAAGTAAAATATGACGAACATGCTGCTTATTGCTCTCCATATTTAAAAGGGCACCGACCAAAAACTACTGCGTAGAATTAATAGAACTTTTTCACACACAAGCCTTGCAATATCAGCTCTCAAGACGTATAATGGTTATGCGGCTTAAGTGTGAAGTTGGTTTCGAAAAAACGTAATTAAGTCCTCTGACGGGAAAAAACGAAATGACTTTCCGAACAACCTTATATCACCATAAAATCTTGCAACACCTCACGTGTGCACGCAATTGTTGTTAGAAACTGCTTTATCCACTCCGACCGATCATCTTCCAAGTCCTGCACGACGATAGGAGTGTTGAATTGTTTCTGCTGTCACCTCTTTCCAAGCTTTACTAATAAAGTTGACTGCATCTGGCATATTAATGGAAGATTTGTCTTCAGACTCGATCATTTCCATTAAAATGTTTTTCATGTATCGACTCTTAAGACTTTTTATTACGCTCTGGTCCATCGGCTGTAATACACTTGTTGTTTTGGATGGAAGAAATGCCAATTCAATATTCCGTATATTTGGAATATGGAGATGTGCAGGGCAGTTATCTAAGAGAAGTAATATTTTCCTCCCCTTTAATTCTGCATCCCATTTCCGTATCTCCTTTTAAAAAATTTGAGATGTCACCCATGCAGACTTGTTTGCATTGTAAGTATGTAACTATGCTCGATGAATTCTTAAAACATCGTGGGTTAGTTGATTTTCCAATCGCGACTAGCTTTCTTTTTCCTCTCCCACTCATATTGGCAGCTACTAACACTGTTATACGTTCTTTAGAAAGTTTTCCACCCACACAGTTTTCGCTTCGAAATGTAAGAGTTTTATCCGGCGCCATTTTGTAAAAAATACCAGTCTCGTCAGCAGGGTACTTTTCTGCTAGTTTTGGCCCCGTCTTCTCCAGGAAATCTTTAGTGACGTTTCTGTCGACATCACTGGCTTCGCCACTTTTCTGTCCATAATTTATACCGAAGCCTTGAAATCGATAATGCCAAGCTGTTCAGCAAACTTTTCTGCTTTTAGTTTTACGATAGGTCCAGAGAGTGGTACATTTTTAAGGCGTCGCTGTTAAAGCCACCGCGACATTGCCCGATCCAAATCTTCAAATTTTGGCTTTCTTAGTTTTTTATTAGAACTGACAGCCGCTTCAGCCTGGATGATGTTTTCCTTTTCACTTCGAAATCGTGGATACAGTCTACGGTATAAATCCGCATCGACGTCCCACATCACTTTTCTTTTCTCCCCGTTCTATCTCCCGAATTAAAGCAACTTTATCATGTAGAGATAAAATTTTTCGTTTACTCGCCATGCTCGCCGTATTCACTAAGTCAAATTTGAACTGATTGGAACAATGGTGTGCTTTTATACATACCGATAAAGGCATTAACATAATCGCTTATTACGAGAAAAACGCCTAGGACGACCAGGTTAAGGTAAGGAATTCTGTACAAGTCGGCCTACATTCCTTACTTTGTTACCCGAGGTGCCCATTCGGTATAGAGAGTGAGAAAATCGTTATACGGAGTGGATTAATACATAGCTTTGTACGGAGACCTTATAGTACAACAAATTTTGTTCGTAATACAGAGTTTCATGTTATACAGAGTTTCGCTATAGGGAGTTTTCACCGTAATAAGTCATTATGTGAGTTCAAATCCTAATGCGTGCAGCATGTACCGTGTACGCTACTTTTGAACCTAATGAATCAGTGAATAATATTTACGTTACCCTTTTTAAATAACTAAAAATAAAATTTACATGCCTGATGGAGTTGGTTCCATAATGCCATAATCTAAATAACTCAAGTCCAAATTAATTCACTTTATTTTACAAAAAAGTCGCAATATAAAAGTCTCTGAACGCTCTGAAAATTAAGGTGGTTAAAACCAAATATTTGAGGACTTTCGCATCGTTGCCTGGACCCTCTATTACCCGACCCTTTCATTGAAATTCCCAGAATAGGAATTTTGTCTTCAAAGTCTGTTCATAGATATATAAGAAAGCGACTAACTGATACGAATTAAGGAAGACCCGGGCAAGCTGTAAGAACGAAATATGGCGGAACAGGGCCGTACTTTGCTTAGAATTTAATTATTTGGGGTTTTGTTAGGAAAGATACTAAACAATATTATAAATATAAATATTAAAACAAAATTACTAATTATTTTATTACCTACTTTTACTAATTACTAATAAATTTAAACTAAGCAGTATACCAAACCAAACCAGGTAGGTATAAAATTATTTTCTATTACGGACCACAATTTTACCTGAATTTAAATTCAGAAACTATAGGTAATAATCTTGTTGCATTGTATGTTAATGATCACCCTTGGATAATCCCATTCAAAAGCAATCGGTCACTTTCTTATATCTATGAACAGACCATACCTATTATGACCGGTTTCCAGGCGACTTAGATCACTGTGCGTCGGCGCGATCGGAAAAATTCTTCAGTAAAATTTGTTCAATTTTTTTTTCTTAAGTAATTCTTAATTGTAAATCTCCGATTACGACATGACTTGGAATTCGTGTGCCTTTTAAGGGTTATCGTTCACGAATTCGCATGAAGTGTTGGGTGCTTAGGGTCAAGTCGGAGCCGGTGACGACGGCGCGCGATCCTCCAGATCTCAGGTAGGTTGTTGTCGGCTTATTTTGCTTCGGTGGTGCAGCGTCAAAGTCCCCAGCACTCCGCCCCCGATATCCCGGAGCGCTCCCGCCGTTCGCGCGGGCCCCTCGAGCCCGCCGGATCCCGAGATTCCTCAAAACCCTACCGCGCAGACCGTCCCTTACCCCTATCGATGGCCCGTCGATCCCCGACACGCCCAATTCGCTCTTCCGCCCCTGTACAATCAATACTTTTGTCAAAATCCGCCGTTTCGCGGGGCGTCGTCTCCGGAATTTCATGCCCCGAGCCCTTCCGCCGGTATGATGTACGGCAACGAGACGCCACCGCCTCCACAGTGGTGGTACCCCCCCGCGCAGAGCTTCCCGCCCGGAATATTGTACCCGCACGCGCCTCAGTTTCCGTATTGGCCCCAAACGAATCCGTGTTCGCCGCAACCGGACCTGCGCGACCCTCGGAGTAGTTCAAGTGAACCGCTACACTCGCGCGAATTACAAAAGCCGGCGTCGCCCCGTCCCGCCGACAATCGACCCATCACCGACGCCCATATTGATCCGGACGAATCAAAAGAACAGTGTTCCGTCGAAGGCGTCGAGAAAACGACGAGTAGTTCAAACGAACCGCCGCGCATCGTAGGACCTTGCGCCGACGCGGACGCTCAGGAAGACGCGTGCTGCGAAGCGGAAGTGGATATGTCGCAAGGGTACCCGCCGCAGACGTAAATCGGTTCCGAATTCGCCTACTGCCGGGTGCTTAAATTTATTAACCCTTTTCAGACCCCAAGATCCTCTACCCCCGCAATCGATTATCGTTAGGAGTTGACCGCGCGCCGCTGACTGAATCTAACCTCAAAATCCCGCGCCTGTCTAGTCTGCGGTTCTGGTTCCGAAAAATTACCCTCGGGAGATCATAAAAATTGGCCCTCCCATCATGTTTTTTCGTAAATAAACGGATTTACGGATTTATTTGCGAAGCAATATTTTTTTATCAGTGTGTGTGGAGTACGCGTTCACTTGTGAGATTAGGCGTTGTTATTTCAACAGCACCCTGTATATTTTATTTTAAAAATAGGTTTTTCAATGCATACATCAAATAAATCTTTTTTTTCTACGAACTTAACCAAACAAAATATCGATTCGGGATAGGGTTTGCATTCAATATATATATATATATATATATATATATATATATATATATATATATATATATATATATATATATATATATATATATATATATATATATATATATATATATATATATATATATATATATATATATATATATATATATATATATATATATATATATATATATATATATATATATATATATATATATATATATATATATATATATATATATTTTTTAATTCGCTTTGCAATGCATACAAAGAATCTTTTTTTTCTTCGATTTCAATCAAAGAAAATATCGATTGGGCATTAGGGAGGGGTTTACGTTCACTGGTGAGATAATGCGATAATATTTCGACATCACCCCGTGTATTTTATTTTTTTAAAATACCCTTTGTAATGTTCACACAAAGGAATCTTTTTTTCTACGAATCCGGACCCGCATTCACTGTTGATATTATGCAATGTTATTCCGACAACACTTTGTTTTTTATTTTTTTTAAAATGCGCCTTGTAATGTATACACAAAGGAATATTTTTTTTTTCTACGAATTCAACCAAACAAAATATCGATTCGGCCTCAGGCTAGGGTCCGCGTCCACTCGTGAGATTATCCGATGTGATTTCGACAGCACCCTGTATATTTTATATTTTTTTCATCGCATTGCAATGCACACACAAAAGAATTGATTTTTCTACTAATTCACCAAACGTCGGGGTTATTTCGACAACACCCTGTGTATTGTATTTATCAAAAATCGCCTTTTCGTTTTTCTTTCGGAGACGTTGACGCTGCGCTTGGTTTGGGTTTGTCGCATGCGGTTTCGGTTGTGCTGCTTTTTTTTTTTTTCGTTTATTTTTGTTTTTTTTTTTGTCCGCAGGGCTCGCATAGTGTCGCAATAGAGAGCACGTGTTTTTCTTTTTGTCCACCACAAAAATCCAAAACCCAGCCAGTATTTTCTCGATAATAATAATTCTAGCAGCGGCGAGGCGGCGACTGCCGCCGCCCCCAAAGCGGACCGGCCCCACTCGCTCGAGTTGGCGGAAACGCGGGCGGACGAGGCGCCCCACGACGAAGACGACGTCGTCGAAAACCCTCCCGACGACGAGGAGGATATCGTCCTCGCGGTCGGTGACGAGCCGGGCGGGGCGGAGACGGCGCCGAGGAGCGCGACGCCCGCCGCCGGGGTGCGCACGCCGATCGACGTCGACGTCACGACGTCGAGCGGCAAAAACACACCTGGGCTCACCGACCAGGGCTACTTTGATTTGAAATTTTACCACAACAAGCTGTGGTAGTCGCGGGAGGGTTTGCGACAGCCTTCGGAGGAGGCAGGGTGGGGGAATGTTCAAACGAAACGTTATTTGGAGGTTTTTATCGCACACGCTCAAATATATGTATCGGCTATTTGACAGTTTTGCAATTGTTATTCTCTGCGTTGCTACTTGTTTACTGTCCCATGACGTCACCGTTAAAAACATCTGGTGGTTCGTGCCGTTTTCTAGGCACCTGTCAAATAGCTTATTTTTAAAACTTTCGTTGTTATGCCCGGCTGTAAACAAAGTTCGCGTTCGTGGTCAGACCAAAACAAAACGACCTACCAAAACTACCAAAAGGTCGTCAGTGACGAATATGAACTTTGTTCAAAAATCTCGCGATACTGTTCTAGATATGTGTTTTCAGTTACCCCGTATAAGCTGCGTTGATTTTTTTTCCACGGTAGCTATAATATACGGACGGAAGTCCCTGTTTGAGTTCTTGCTCTACCAGGTAAAGTTTTGTGATAAGTTTTAGGTAATTTTTGCATAATTTGTATTATTAATGAAGGGAATAAAGAATTGCGCGTTTTAACTGAGCGTTTTACTGAATGGAAAGTTAGAACAGTTGCGTAACCGCAAGCAAGCGTCTCCGGTATGGGCGAGTGCTATTTGTCATTTTGCTCATCGAATATAATTACATATTTGCTGAAAACAAACTGTGTCTCCCTAGCAAGAACGATTTTTTAAAAAATAAACCCAACACATGGTCTAATGATCCATCCAACTTTTGGGCCAATGGAAGTTAAGAAGAAGAAATACAACAAACTAACTACACGACGAAATAACGTATAAATAAATAGGCGTTCTGCATTCACTCGTTTTATAAATTTATGTTTAAGCAGTCGTCGCACCTATCACAAAGTTAAAATATCTTAGAAGAAGAGGAATATCGAAAATTAAATAAAAAGAGTTCGAAATTTTTCTTGATCGCTTTCCACGTATCTCGTAACCACCACCCTGCGACGTCAGTTAATATTATTGGTGATAACACCAATAAACCCAAAATCAATTTCGTACCGGTAGTTCACATCGCCTTTAGCGCGGTAGTTCAAACGTCCGCCGCCAACTTCACGTCGCGCACGCATAACCTATAACTATCGGGTCTTATTTTTTCAAGATCGTATCGAAATTCGCGAAAGCATGTTATCTCGGACTGGTTTTTGTCCCGATTCGCGCGCTTAGCCCGCGATATGCCTCGCGCGGAGTCTATTTATAGACTTGGCGACGCCGTTATCCAACGAGCAGTTTAAAAATAGTCCCAAAGATGGTCATAGCTTGTAGATCGCTCGAGCTCATGAAAACGGGCAAGAACGCGAACGTCTTGCCCAAAGGGCGCGCGTTCGCTTACAGAAACTACGCGAACTTGGCGAAGAGTTCGCAGTGCGGCGCTCTGGAGTTGGTGAGGTTATGTTGCGGCTGTCGGAAGCTGCATTTCTCCAAAGAAACGAACAGCAGCCCCACCAAACTGACCCCGAGTGAGGTGAGTACGACAAACTAAAAATTCGGCCACTGTTTACGTTTGTAACGTTATCTGAAAGTAAATTGTGTCACGGTTACGCGTAGTTTTGAATGAGACGCAGCAGATAATAGAATTTGGCTGTTAAACGTTGTAAAAATGTGTTTCAAGTCAGTTCCGCGCTCGCACCTGCTCTTATTATTGGTAAGTCGCGACGCGCAACGTTTCCGGGGGTCCCCATAGGCACGAATTTGATTTTTCCAGCTTGCGGGGACGGTTTCTGCGGCGTCGGTGTCGCTTCGCCCCGCGCCGGTCGTATTCGCGACCGTTCGCGCCGTAGTCGACAACGTTTTCGCCGTTTTGGCTCAGCTTATCGCCCCTTTAGTGAACCTGCTGACTTTCATCCGTCAGACTTTTGTAGAAAACGCTCTAAACTTGGTCACGGCCCTGGCCGGCACCGCGCAAACGAACCCAGCCATTTTGATCGTCCAGACGCTCCTCGTGGTTGCAAACGAGACGCTTTCCAACGTCACCGCGTTACTGACGACGGGCGGGGGCGCCGTCTTGAGCGGGGCGCAGGCCGGCGTCGACGGCATCATCGATTTCGTGGCCAGTTTTTTTTTAGTGTAATAGATGTCACAGTTTCTAGTAGCTTTGTTTTGTCTACCTTATAATAACTTGTCTTTTTAGTTTGAGGCTCCGCTTTGGTTAGTTAAAGCAAAGTCTTATAGCCTCATCGATTGTAAGCAGATTATTGTTATTTACATAATCAGAAAATATACTTTTCGCCATTTATAGTCTACAAAATGTGTGAGGAAAGAAATTTCTTTAAAAAATATAAGGGAAACTTAAGATCTAGGTTCTTTCGATGCTTACCCTTCATATCGAATTTCAGACCCAACCCATTTTACGGCTTCTTACCTACCACTTTAGGAGTCGCGAATTTTCGCATCAAACTGTAAAAAATATGGAAGTTTCCGATGCTTACCTTATACTCTTTAGTAGCCGGTTTAAGTCCTTGCTTTACTCTTTAAAAAATATAAAAACGTTATCGCAAAGCAATAAGAAATAGCTGCAGCTGCTTACCGGGCTTACCTTATACACCACCGCTGCCATTTTAGCATGCGCTATCTATCCTTGTTTTAAGCTTTAGAAATATTTGAATATTTCACCGTAAAGCCGAAGACAAAAAATTATCCACCTTTTTTATGCTTACCTTATAGGCTTCGGTTTTAGGTTTAATTGCCTCTTCAATTCCTTGATTTAAACTTTAAAAATATGACAATGTTATCGTAAAAACAAAAATAATTTTAGCTGCGACCACTTCGGGGTAGTCTCTAGCCGCCATTTCAACGGACGCCGTCAATCGTTGCTTCGCACTTAAGAAGCAATAAGAAATAGCTGTATCCGCTCTCCGGGCTTATCTTATACTCTTCTGCAGCCGTTTTAACGTACGTTGTCTATAATTGCTTTAAGCTTTAAAAATATTTTAACACTTTGCCGCATGAAAATGAAAATACTATCGCAGAAGCAATAAGACATAGCTGTAGGCGTTTTCTTGACTTACCTTATACTCTCACGCCGCTATTTTAACGTACGTTACCTATCCTTGCTATAAGCTTTAAAAAAATCATTTTACCGAAGAAAAAATGTTTATGCTACTATTTCGTGCTTACCTTATACACTTTGTTGTTACGCTTTAAATCCTTGCATTGAACTTTAAAAATATGACGTTATGGTGAAAACAAAAAGATTTTTAGTTGCGACCAGTTTCGGGACTTACTTTATACTCTCTAGTCGCCTTTTCATAGAACGTTGTCAATTCTTGCTTAAAACTTCAAAAAAAAAAAAATCGAAAATGCCACCGCAGAATCAATAAGAAATTTTTAACGTACCATTCTTGCTGTAAGCTTTAGAAATATTTGAACAATCATCCGTAAAGCCAAAACAAAAATCTTTATCCAAATGTTTCGTGCTTACCTTATACACTTTGGTCTTGGTCTAAAATGAATTCTAGCTGTGATCACTTTTGGGGCTTACCTTATACCCTCTCGTCGCTATTTTAACGGACGCTATCAATCCGTGCTTCAAGATTTAACAATATATTGACGTAACCCCCCCCCCTCCCGCGCGCTTACCTTATAAATCAGTGAAGGTGACGCAAAGCTTTCGGGGATATTTTACCGCGAAAATCGCTGTTGTGTTGTTGCACAACCAACGCCAAACCGTCACGCGAATCTACGGGTAAATATTTGGGCGACAATTCGTAAAAACGATCGTGTTTGAGTGAAAATTTAATCCGGCGCCCATTGTTTCGCCGCTAGATAAGCCCCACGCGGTAAACACTATAAAGTGTCGCGTAGTCGGTGGTGAATTCCAACCCAGTTCGCCACAGTCGTCGCGTAAAAATGATTGCCAAAACGTTGTGCATTATTACGGTAAGTACGACCCCCGTCGTCCCACAACTCCCGTTCCGTTTCGACCGTCGTGCCGTCTTCAGGTATTCCTGGCGTGCCCGGTACACCCTGCCGTCCATTTGACCAGGGAAATCCAGCTGACGCCCGCCGACCTCTGCTCACCCCGACCCACCCCGTTCGAGACGTTCGTCGGCCGCGTCGCCGACTCCCGCGTAGTCGAAAGCCTCGTGGATTCGTTTCTGGCGAGCCAGGCGGACACCTTGACCGCGCTGCAGGACAAGATCGCATCGAACAGCGAGGACCTGGTCGGCATCCTCGAGATCCTTAACGACGGCGCCGGCGCCGAGGTGCTCCGCGTCGACGATGGCTTCGTGGGCGTCGACCCCGGCGAGCTCGAGCGTTTCGCTATCGCCCAGGCGAGGACGCTGTCCAGGGCTTTGTTCCCCCGCGATCCTTTCCGCCAGATAATATTCTTCAGCTCGGCCAGGGTGCAGATCAGGGGCGTGGCCGCGTCCATAGCCCCCCGGGTGCTCAACATCCGGGTACCCCTGAAAGCGTTGGCCGCCGTGTTGCCGCCCCTCGACCGCCTCCCCTCATCGCACGCCATCTCCAAACGTGACGTTAGTTTAGCCGAACTACTGTGGTCGGTAGTTCAAACGACCGTGTGTCAAACCATACGGCCGGCGGTGGCCATCGTCAACGGTACCATCCTCCGGTGGGAGGATTTCCTCGACAACCTCACCGTGGAGACGGAGGTCGACAATCCGCTGAGCATCTTCCTCGCCGACCTGGTGAGGTCGGTGTTTGCCGCCGCCCGGGAACTACTCGCTAACGTACGCGCCGCCATCGGCGGCTTGGCGAGTGCCGTCTGCGCCTCCGGATCGTCCAGAAGGAAACGCGACGTCGGCACGGACCTCGTCGCCGACGGGTACGCCCTGCAGCAGCGTTCCGTCTCGATTTTCACCATTCTCGGCGGCGTACTTGCCTTCGTGTGGACGACGCTGCTGGCGCCGGTCGTCAACGTCGCAGCCAAAGCCTTCGTGGCGCGGGCCGTCAGTTTCCTGACCGACGCCATCGACACCTTCCTCAATACGACCTTTGTCGACGCCGCCAACACCATCATCGACACCATCACCAACCAATAAATTTGTAGAATAGAATTAATAAAAATCGCGTTTTGCGACGTCGTTTCGCGCTTTTCTTCGATCCCTCCTACCTTTTTTTTATAAAGTAAGCGACAGGCGATGGACCGACGCCCGCTCCTTTTGCAGGTGGACGTGATCCTGCGGGCCAACGAGTACACGCACGAGTTCGCCCAGGGTCCCGTCAAGGCGTACGAAACGAACCAGCTGCCGTCCAACAACCCCATCGAGGACACGAGATCGGAGGCGACGTGTGTCCTAGCCGAAGGTAACGTGCATACTTTATACTTACCGCGTTGTCTCCTTTGGTTACCTTATACGCGGCCGACCGCTGTCCAGGCGGTGTCATGTTTATGTTGCTTACCGTATAATAATATGGGCCGGAGAAACTTCGTCGACTTACCTTATAATTGCCCCCAAAATGTCAACGTCGATCGTGTTTTTCCCAAACCGAACATAACGTATATAGTAATAATAGTCATAAGATTGCAAGGGCTAAGTCTGGCCTTAAAGCCACAGCCCATATCTAAAAAGGTCCTATATTCAGTTAAGCTTCTAGAGAAATTTTTTATGTATCATGGGAAAGATGCCATTCTCGAAAAAATGATGAAAATACAACCAAAGATTCAGAAGAAAATGACCGATTATTTGAAACATTAAATGTAGTTCTCAAATATTTATGTAAAATGTTCCTAAGTAATAATTAAATATTACAGAACACATATAATACTAATAAATAAATAAATACATTTTTAGCATATCATTCTTATTTTTTAATTAATTTTAAGGATTTTTGCCAGATCTATTGAATTAAAACGTCATCATTTCTTATATCGTCAACAATGTAAAATAATATGTATAATTATGATAGAAGTTTGAAAATTTAACACAAGTAACAAGTAAGTCCAGTATGTTTTCAACATGTCCACCATTTTGAATAATGCACGTTGTATAGACAACCTCTATATGGTTTATAGCATTGCGGCTTCTCTAATACACCTTTGTAGTGCATATTTCTTTCAATATCATATCTCCCATAAAAAAATGTCCAGTGGAGTAAGATCGGGACTTCCAGGTGGCCACCAGATGTTTCCATTTTGTTCGATCCGAAGATTGTAATTTTGATTTGATTGTTTCCCCGGTGGTACGGAGCGCCATCTTGCACTCATAAATGATTTTATTGTTCGATTTAAAAAAAAATTACGTTAGTAAATGAGGATATTATTGAACGACGGGCAACAAATGACATTATATATATTAGGGCGTTGGATTACTGCAAATAATGCGACTAAAAGACATTTTTAACGAAATATGTTGCAGTTATTGTCACACCTCCCCCACGGCCTCGTCTGTCCCACCTGTAGAATCTAAAACCCGGTACCTCATAACAGCCACTTTCCTAATCTCCCAAGCTAACCTTATACCGATTATTTCATTGTATTTTCCTTACCATAGTGTCGTCGCATCTATGGCAAAATATTATTACCTAACCGGCCTGGTCGTCCTCGATTATAAGGTAAGCAAGGCTCTTGGGTTATTTACGCTTAAAGTCCGTTCATAGATATAAAAAAGTGACTAACTGATACGAATTAAGGAAAGACCCGGGCAAGTATACCAAACCAAAAAACATTAAACTCAGGTAGGTATAAAATTATTTTCCGAAACTTTTTGTAATAATCTTGTTGCATTGTATGTTAATGACCACCCTTGGATAATCCCATTCCAAAGCAATCGGTCACTTTCTTATATCTATGAACAGACCACACCCTCGAATTAACCATTCACATCGCTTGTTTCTCCACGCGTTAGGATTCCTGGCCGGCGTCTTCGACGGCCACGGGGGCAGCGCGTGCGCCCAAGTGATCGCCAAACGACTGTTCCGCTACATAAGCGCGTGCCTCTTGCCGCACGAGCGGCTCAAGCGTTACGCCCTTTCGCTGAGCGACCCGAAACCCCCCGATCTGATCCGGGCCTACAACGACAAGGTCAAGTTCGTAGCCGACGTGAAGGACATCTACCGGACGAGCTTCGAGCAATTCGTCGCCGACCTCGCGAAGGTAAGCGGGCGTTTAGACGCTTCTTCGGCCGCGTCACCGTCGGGGTTTGCAGGAGGACGAAGGTAAAGGTCGGCCCGAGACCGGAACGGCCCTCGAGCGTGCCTTCCTCAGGCTGGACTCGGACATGAGCCGCGAGGCTCTGCCCCGGGGCGACAAACTCAACTTGAAGACCCTCTCGGTGGCTATGTCGGGGGCGGTGTGCAGCGTCGCCCACGTGGAAGGTCCCCACCTTCACGTGGCCAGCGTAGGGGACTGCTGCGCCGTACTCGGCTCGCTGTCCGACTCGAACTCGTGGCTCGCCACCAAATTGTCCGAGGAGCACAACTCGTACAACCAGGCGGAGCTCGACAGGATATACGCCGAGCATCCGGAGAACGAGCGGGGCTCCGTCATTAAAATGGACCGGCTTCTGGGGCAATTAGCCCCGTTACGCGCGATGGGCGACTTCAGGTTCAAATGGAGCCGCGACATTATGGAGAACGTGATCGCTAGGCACTTCGGCGAGCACATGGTGCCGCAGAACTACTTGACGCCGCCCTACCTCACTGCGTCGCCCGATGTCGCTTACCACAGACTGACGCCCCGCGATAGGTTCCTCATCCTGGCCACCGACGGCCTCTGGGACATTTTGACACCGCTCCAGGTGGGCCTACCTTATATTTATCCGAACGTCGAGCGCTTACCTTATAAAACACAATGCTGGGTTTGGCCAGTTACGCGAGATAATTGGGTTTCAACGCTGCGCTCTTTGCTTACTTTATAACGGGATTTAGAAATAATTTACTGATAAATCTTCACTTTCAGCTGCATTTATTGCTGTTATATAGTTTACCTTATAGTTGTTTCCGTTTGTCTAACTTATGGAAAGTTTGATATGCTTGAAAAGTTTTTTGAATCGCTGGCTTGCCTTGTACACACTTTTGTTTACTTTCAGCGCTTCGTTATACTCGTTTATTACATTATAGTAATCCGTACTTACCATATAAAATTCGCGTTTTCTCGTATGAAAATGTTCGAGAGGAGTGTACCACCTTACCTTACAAGTAACAAAAGTCTTAGTTTAGCATTAAATTTCTTTTGCCGATTTTCTTTATAAAATAAATTAATAACTGCTTACCTTTATACTACGCTGGCTTAGTTTGCCAGTGGAACATCCTTACCTTATAGTAACAAAAGTCTTACTTTATCGTTAAATTGCTTTAGTTTTTTGCCGATTCTCTTGCTCCTGGTGTATGGGAACTTGAACAATAATTTGCTTACCCTTATAAAATAATAATTTACTAACTACTTACATTTATACTTCGCTACCCAGCAGGCAGTGAAACTAGTCGGGAACCACATGAAGGGCAAGGTGACGCCGCATCACCTGAAACTGCCGCGCAAGAAAATTTTGTTTTGAATTTGTTTTTCTTGCTTTATAAGTATCAAACGTCTTACTTTATCTTTAAATTGCTTTGGTTTTTCGCCGATTTTCTTCCTCGTGGTGTATGGGCACTTGAACAATATTTTGCTTACCTTTATAAAATAGTAATTTACTAACTACTTACCTTTATACTTCGCATGTTTATTTTGCCGCCCCGCAGGCAGTGAAACTGGTCGGGGACCACATGAAGAGCGAGGTGACGCTGCACCAACTGAAGCTGCGGCGCCAGAAAATTTTGTAGTGACTTTGTTTTCCTTACCTTATAAGTAACAAAAGTCCTACTTTATCGTGAAATTGTTTTAGATTTTTGCCGATTTTCTTCCTCCTGGTGTATGGGCACTTGAACAATATTTTGCTTACCTTTATAAAATAGTAATTTACTAACTACTTACCTTTATACTTCGCTTGTTTATTTTGCTGCCCCGCAGGCAGTCAAACTGGTCGGGGACCACATGAAGAGCGAGGTGACGCTGCACCAACTGAAGCTGCGGCGCCAGAAAATTTTGTAGTGACTTTGTTTTCCTTACCTTATAAGTAACAAAAGTCCTACTTTATCGTGAAATTGTTTTAGATTTTTGCCGATTTTCTTCCTCCTGGTGTATGGGCACTTGAACAATATTTTGCTTACCTTTATAAAATAGTAATTTACTAACTACTTACCTTTATACTTCGCTTGTTTATTTTGCTGCCCCGCAGGCAGTCAAACTGGTCGGGGACCACATGAAGGGCCAGGTGACGCTGCACCAACTGAAGCTGCGGCGCCAGAAAATTTTGTAGTGACTTTGTTTTCCTTACCTTATAAGTAACAAAAGTCCTACTTTATCGTGAAATTGTTTTAGATTTTTGCCGATTTTCTTCCTCCTGGTGTATGGGCACTTGAACAATATTTTGCTTACCTTTATAAAATAGTAATTTACTAACTACTTACCTTTATACTTCGCTTGTTTATTTTGCTGCCCCGCAGGCAGTCAAACTGGTCGGGGACCACATGAAGAGCGAGGTGACGCTGCACCAACTGAAGCTGCGGCGCCAGAAAATTTTGTAGTGACTTTGTTTTCCTTACCTTATAAGTAACAAAAGTCCTACTTTATCGTGAAATTGTTTTAGATTTTTGCCGATTTTCTTCCTCCTGGTGTATGGGCACTTGAACAATATTTTGCTTACCTTTATAAAATAGTAATTTACTAACTACTTACCTTTATACTTCGCTTGTTTATTTTGCTGCCCCGCAGGCAGTCAAACTGGTCGGGGACCACATGAAGGGCAAGGTGACGCTGCACCACCTGAAGCTGCCGCGAAAGAAAATGACCCTGAACGAGATCAACGATCTGCTGCTGCAACGCAAGGAGGGGCTGAAGCTGAAACCGAGGGATTCGAACGCGGCCACCCACATAGTTCGGAACGCGCTCGGCGGTACCGAGTTCGGTGACGTCAGCCACTCGAAGATATCGCAGCTGTTGACGTTGCCCGAGGACGTGGTGCGCGTGTTCCGCGACGATATCACCGTCACCGTCATCTACTTCGATTCTGAGTTCCTGAGGCATTGTCCTGCGTAACGGGAAGCGGCGGCGGCGGCAGCGCCGCCGCTTGTATATAGTCGTTACTATTTTTAAATTATTTATTGTTCTTCTCCCTTCCGCCGCGCGGAAATCTAGTCAGCGCGACGCGCGCGAGCAGAGGATATGTGACGCCATACCGCGCGGCAGATCAGGGGTGGCCGGGCGTTCGTGTTTTTTCCTTTCGAATTCCTCGTAGCGGTCGGGTTGATAACGGCGTTTAATAAATTTCGAAAATTTTGCTTGTTCCTTTTGATTTCTCCCGATAAGTAAAGGATACGGCATGCTGGGGAGTAGTTCGTGATTCACAGAACAAAAATGGTCTCCCTTTCCTTTTTATTCTAGGCCTCGCGGTGGGTGATTCATTCGGTTATCTATGCCGGATATCACAATTTGGTGAAGGTGGAAAATATTTCGTAGACTTTGTGGTCTGAGGTATAAACGAGTATCTACCGAATATTTTTTACGCTGATGATGATGAATTTGACGAATATTTCATATTCATTGAATGAATTGTGGGTGTAAAACTAATATGTGCAGATAAAAAGGCCAAACAAAGGATAATTCTTAAAAAATTGGTTTTATTTATTAATTTAAATGTTAGCAATATGCTTAAGCGATCTCCTTTGTGGCCTTGGGCTTCTTGGATGCTATGGGCTTCCTCTGGGACCTGAGCACTGCGCTGGCCCGCCGCAAGGCAGCCTGAAAAATGTTAATGACTAACTCTCATTCCGCACTTTCCCATAATCTCACCTTCGTCAAGTCCGTGCGGTATTTGTTAGCCTTCAGCAGGCGTTTCAGTTTGTACAAGGACCGCCTCGGACCGGACTTCATGGTCCTCTTGACCAGGTTCTGCCTGGGTTTGCGCTACAATAAAAACCGTGAAACGCGACTCGAACATGTCATAATATTAGCTTGCCTGCTTCTTGGCCTTCTTATATATGACGGTGAAGCCTTTCTTGTCACCTTTCTTGTCGAGGGCGTCTACCACCGATAGGGATTTTTTGTGCACCAATCCATTATAACGGTAGGAGCTCAAATTCGTAAGGTTGTTAGGTTCCTGAAACGGTTCGTAGTGCGAGATTAGGCGATAAGGTTACAAAACCCGACTTACAGTACTGAACGGTTTGCTTATGTTGCGTTTTTTCAGCAAAAACGCATTGTTGTTGCGGATAATGCTCCAGACCAGATGGGCCGACATGTCAAGGCTGAAAGAATGTTTGTGATGAAAACACCGAAAAAAAAACGTTCTTACGGCTGCTTTTTATTCCAAATTACGCGTAAACACGTGGGGACGCTGAGGTTACTCCGCGAATTACTCTTGAATGACAATACATCCATTTAAAACTACACCCCCGTAAATTAGGGACTCCAAAATTACGAAAAAGATCAATATTTCCCTTCCGCACCTAAAATAACTGCAAAACCAAAAATTAAATCCAATTTACCTTAACTCAAGGAACAAAAAGACCACTTAAAATGGCCGATGCATAGATAAACACAGAAAATCAATCTGAATTCATTCAATGCCAACTGTAAAATATAAAAAAATCTTTTTGAATTGCATTTTTTAAATTTATTTCGAATTATGTTAAATGCGAGGCTACAAATCGTAATTGCTAGTTAATATTGATCACAACACGTTTGTTGTCTTATTTGGGGAAACAAAAATTGCAAAGTTACCACTTCAAAGGGGGTGACACATTTTGTACTGTGTATTTAAGGTTATACATCAGATGATATTTCAAAAAAAGCAATTTTTTATAAATTGCTGTAAATTTTAGGTATGTCGGGGCTGAGTGTCGTGGTTCTGGCGCCTAACGGCCGCCGGCAAACGGTGAAATGTAATCCGAATACCACAATTCTTCAGGTATTTTACACACGCCATAACATTTTTGTAGTATTTGTTGACACTCAAATAAACAGATTATAGAGGAGGTATGCCGCAAGCAGGGCTATAAACCGGAGGAATACGACATCAAACACCACAACAAGATTCTAGACACGACGCAAACTTTTAGGTTCTCAGGTTTGCCGAACAATGCCCAATTGGAATTGGCCGCGGCTTTGAAGAATCGAATTGAGTGCGATATAACATTGGCGGTAAATTTAGAGGACGGCCGCCGCATCACTGATACTTTTAAGCCCCGGGAGACCCTCCAAGTAGTGCTGCAGAAGACATGTCCGGAATTAGCGGTTCCTGAAAAAAATCCTGTAGTTATTTATACCAGACGTGAGATTTATGGGGATGAATTGGGAAAATGCACCCTTAGGAGCTTGGGGTTGACCGGAGGGCGAGCTATGATTAGGGTTATTAATAGAGACCCTGAATTGTTGAAACAGCAAGCGAATGTGTCTGCTTGTTTACCATCAAAACCACCTGAAGAGAGGCCTTACGTTAGAAAGTATCAACCGCTAGATGATGATAATAGATCGTCATCCCAGAAAGCGGGTCCCGAAAGCTGTAACACCGCTAAAGTAGATCCCATTCAAATAGCCAAAGAAAAAAGGAAGAGTAACGAGGAGCATTGCGCGGATCAGCAATTGGAAAAGAAGAAAGTCACGGATTATAAACCTGTAAGAATTGCCGAACCCATGGACGTTGATCCAGATGAGACACAAGAATCGCAGGTTGTCTCACTGAAAAGCATTGACGAAGAATTCATTTTCGTAAGTGGTGAATATATGTGGTCGTCGCGTCTTCCACGGGTTGTTTTTAGTGCGGCGATCGTAACGGCATGATTTTCTCGCTAGAGTCCGCCATTTCGGTGCCCGCAGAAGATTTGCCCGAAGATTTTTTCGAGCTGACCATCGATGACGCGAAAAAAATATTGCGCGACGTCAAGAGGCGTCGCAACGAGCTCGAAAATCAAGAACTGAGAACGTCGCAGCTGCGCAAGTTGGAACAGTCCAAGAAAGAGCTCAGGCAATTGAACAGGTACAAAAAGGCGGTGATCAGAGTCGAGTTGCCTGACCGGACAGTTATCCAGGGCACTTTTAAGCCGACGGAAACGATCCGTGACGTTCTGGACTTCGTCCGCGGTTACCTTAGGGATCCCGACATAGATTTTTATATATGTGAGTAAATGATGGGTGAAATTTTATACCCGACTGACGAATTCTAGACGCGACTCCACCCAAATGCATTTTAAATGTGGAAAGTCGATTAATCGAAGTGGGATGCGTGCCGGGGGCGTTGTTACACTTTGGCAGCAAGGACGATATCAAAGAGGGTCTGTTAAAGAAAGAATTTGAAAATATGTTCACCACCAATTCAGTGGCCAGCTTGGCCGCAGCTAGAATAAGGTAGAAGGATGGCGTGTTCGTTTTTGTGTTATGTAGTTTTTTTTTTAAGGCAAGAAAATACGAGAACCGGTAAAAGTACTTACGTGGACGATGACCCAATGGACGGTGAAGAAGTAGACGTGAATCAAGGCGCTAGTACCAGTGTTTGTTACGACGATTCGCTCGATACCGGAAGAAAGATAGTCAGGAGCACCGAGAACGTTCCCAAGTGGTTCAAACCTTTACAGTAATACGAATTTTGTCCGTCTTGATCGTTTTTTAATCTTATAAAATCAAATAAATCGTTTTCTTTCCTTTTGTTTAAATTTGACTTGATGCCTTGTGACACACAGTGATACCAACAATGATACTGAAATGAAATAACTACAGAACGTTGACGCACGTTTATGTGGTCCGTGACGCGAACACCCAATACCGCCAACCTAGCCCAAACGTCGCCGACCGACGAAATCTTGAAAACGATGAACAGGGTCGATACGAAATAAAAATGAACGTTATATCGGCCGTGAAGGCGTACGTCGTGAAAATGACGGAGGAGAGCGACCCCGGAATGAAAGTGTTGCTGATGGATAAGGAGACGACGGGCGTCATCAGCATGGTTTACGGACAGTCTGAAATCCAGCAGAAGGAGGTCTTCCTGCTGGAGCGCATCGACTCCCCGAACTACGCGAATTCGACGGGCCTGCGGTACCTCAAATGCCTCGTGTTTCTCAGGCCGACGCCCCAGAACATCGAGGCCCTTTGCGCGGAGCTGCGTGACCCAAAATACGGGGCGTATTATGTATATTTCAGCAATATCGTCGCGAAAGCCGACATAAAGATTTTGGCGGAGCACGACGAGCAAGAGGTCGTGAAGGAGGTTCAAGAGTATTACATGGACTATTTGGCGGTAAACCCGCACCTGTTTTCCATTGGGCTGCCGGGTTGTATTAAGGGTTTGGCTTGGATCCCTACCGCGTTGCAAAGGACGGTTCAGGGGTTAGTCGCCGTGTTGTTGTCGTTAAAAAAAGCGCCCGTCATAAGGTACCAAGCGAACTCGACGCTGGCGAGGGACCTAGGTGCTAGAGTGGACGAAACCGTCAACAAAGAGTCTTCGTTGTTCGCTTTTGGCCCCAACGGCTCGTGTTTGTTGATCATCCTCGACCGGCGGGACGATCCCATCACCCCCCTATTAAACCAGTGGACGTACCAGGCGATGGTACATGAACTGCTCACAATAAACAATAACCGGGTTAATTTATCAGAAGTGCCGGGCGTGTCCAAGGAACTCTCCGAGGTGGTACTGTCCGCCGAACAGGACCCGTTTTACGCGAAAAACATCTTCCTCAATTACGGCGAGATCGGGCAGAACATCAAGCAACTGATGGACCAGTTCCAAGCTAAAGCCAAGAGTCACCAAAAGATCGAGAGTATCGCGGATATGAAACACTTTGTCGAGTCGTACCCGCAATTCAAAAAGCTGTCGGGTAACGTCACCAAACACGTCACGGTCGTCGGCGAATTGAGCTCGATGGTGAGCAAGTACCATCTGCTGGACGTGTCGGAAGTGGAACAGGAACTGAGCTCTCAGAACGACCACTCTGCACACTTGCAGAGTATCAAAAAACTGCTCGCGAATGACAAAATCAGACACGGCGACGCGGCCAAGTTGGTGATGCTGTACGCGCTGAGGTACCAGAACCACGTCAACAGCGAGGTCATGCTCTTGATCGATATGCTGAAGAGGAGGGGCGTGCCCGACAAGTTGCAGAAGAACATCGTCAACATCGTTGAATACGCGGGTTCCCACGCGAGACAGAGCGACCTCTTTAACGTCGAGAACGCGGTAAAAATCACAAAGAGGTTCTTCAAAGGTTTGAGCGGTGTCGACAACGTTTACACCCAACACAAGCCGCTTCTCCACGACACTTTGGAAGACATCGTCAAAGGGCGGCTCAAGGAAAACCTCTATCCGCTGATTAAGAACCACCCGGCCGGTTTCAGGCCCCAGGACGTGATAGTGTTCGTTATCGGGGGTGCCACCTACGAGGAATCTCTCACCGTGCACACGTTTAATAAAAATTTCCCCAGTTTTAACATCTTGTTAGGTGGCACCACGATACACAACTCCGCTAGTTTCCTCGACGAGGTCGAGTTGGCCGTGCAAGACGTGCAGAAAAGACACGGGCGCGCCATGAGAAACGTCAGGTTCACCTAATTAAACATTCCCGTTGTATTTCGTAAGCGTCAAGTTTATGTACATATGTCCAGATATATAATATATTTCAAACCTATTACGTTACGATGCCGTTTGATTGGCGACAATTTTTTGTGGTCCGAGTCGCCTACGAAAAGAGAAAGTTCAATAGAATCAAATTACTCTTACTGTGCTGCTAATATGATTGCAGTGTGAACTAAATTTTACCGCCAAAATATGAATTTGCGGGAATTCTCATAGAAGCGGTTAGGAACGAAAACTTAACCCATTCTTATGAAAATGCATTTTGACGCAATTTACATAATCAAATTTTTAACAGAGTTAAGCAACTTCGCGTTACGCGACAGCTGGTTATCTTTTATATAAGGGGCATTAAAAAAAAACTTATTGTTTAGGATCATTTATTTAAAAATTTAAATATATTTTTCACAAACAGTCTAAAGCATATTCACAATGTTCTTAAAACTGAATAGATTAGTCATAATAGTCATAATTAAAGTTACAAAAACCTACTATAAAGTATTTTATCTACAACCATTTAATAATAGACGCATAATACTTCTGACAGTGAGAGTATTATGCTACGCATAATACAACAAGTGTAATTATATCATAAAAAAACAAGTGTAATTATATCATAAAACAACAAGTGTAATAAAATATTCTGGAATTCTTAATAATCCGGGCTTCAATTAATCGGCGCAGAATTCACACATTTCATTTATTATTTTTATGAAAATTTACTATAAAGTTACCCATATTAAAGTCATACACACGTTACCAATTCAATTCTATTATTCAAAAACAGTTCAAAAAATACAAACCAATATGACAATAATTAAAAAGAATTAGTAGGCCGTGCAGGCTAAATCTGACAGCGCGCAGCGGGTATCCATAGCGACAGCTTACCCGACGCGACGCTCATCGTGAATACAAACATTTTCTTTCATGAAATAATAATTGTAAAGTAAATAATATTCATATAGAGAAGCTTTAAAATTTCGCCTTGCAATTAAAACATAAGATTTAATAAAAATGGATTCTGAAAACGAAGTTCTAACACCCCCGGAAATTCGAGCGGCAGCGGAAGCTGCGTCTCTGGATTTACTTCCCAAGAAATCAAGAAACAATTATGAAATTGCCTACAACAATTTCATGGATTGGCGATCAAGAAACAAGGCCACCTCCTTCTCTGAAGATACATTATTAGTGTATTTCAAAGAATTGGCTAAAAAGTATAAGTCGTCCTCCTTGTGGACGTTTTATTCCATGCTGAAAAGCACACTTTATATTAAACACAATGTCAAGATCGACCACTACGCGAAGCTACATGCTTTATTAAAAAGACAATCAGAAGGCTATCAACCCAAAAAATCTAAGGCATTTACCGGACAGGAAATAAATAAATTTATTTATGAAGCTCCTGATACAAAATATTTGGCTACAAAGGTAAGGAATGATAAGACGTTACATACCTACGGTATTTACCAAGAGGTGTTAATTTTTTAGGTTGCATTAATTATGGGAGTGATGGGTGCATGCCGCTCAAATGAACTACATGCAATGAAAATACAACACGTTACATTTTATGAAGGTTGCACTAGAGTAATAGTTCCCGTTACGAAGACCAAGATCCCTAGGAATTTTACTATTACTGAGAAGTTCCATGATATTGTTAAAAAATATGCAAATCTGAGAGTGCCAAATGCATCAGATTCTTTTTTTATGAATTTTCAAAATGGAAAATGCACAAAACAAGTTATCGGCATTAACAAGTTTGCCAAAATGGGCAGAGAAATTGCAAGTTTCTTACAAATCAAAAACCCAGAAAGATATACCGGGCACTGTCTACGACGATCTTCAGCCACATTGTATGTCGACGCAGGGGCAAGTATGACAGCTCTGAAGCGCCACGGAGGCTGGAAGTCGGCTTCTGTAGCTGAAGGCTATATTGCAGACTCGCAGAAGAACAAGACCGATGCAGCTACTAAAATATTAAGTCAAATCAACCCTAATTGTAATATTAATAACAGTACTTTTGTTTCTACCCCCTCACAATATCCAGGTATGTCTACTATTACGAGCGAATCTTCTCATAACACTTTTTCGATTAGTAAAGACACCACGGACATTAGTATTGGTACTACACCAACTACGATGAATTTCAATAACTGCCCTAATATAACAATCAATTTTATGAAGTAGACAGAGTAATACATAATGATCCTATTAAGCGTCAATTTAAAAATAATTGTGTGCTGAAGTGTAAATGTTAATTAAATATTATTAAACTTATTAAATGTTCAATCCAGGACTTTCATTGAATTTATTCCTTATTACATCACAACTCATAACACATAAACATATAACATAAACAGCATACATAAACAGTAACCAGTGTTGATATTGAGTGAATGGTAGAATCTAAAAATGTATGATATTATGTTCCATTTCATATAAAGCAAGTTAACATCCACTTCCGGCCTAACCGGAAGTGCCACCATCTTGAGAATATTCTAGCTGAATTGCTCTGCCATCAGCATTAGCTTCCTACCGAATTTTCAGGTTTCTCCCATGTATAGTTTTTTTTCACAATAAAATGACACATTTCAATTCCGGTGAGGTACCCTATATAAGTGGATGGTTGTAGATAAAGTATAGTATTTGACTCGAGTATTATGGACCATAATAAACTCAGATGATTATAACACTCGCCGCAAGCGGCTCGTTTTATAAATCATCCTCGTTTATTATGGCCTTCATAATACGCTCGTTAAATAATATACTATAATGAAGGTAGTGTGTCAATACATAATTTTCTCCGGCCTTCTGCCTCCCTCTTTTGTTGAACTATTCTTTTTATCAGAGAATATACCAAATTTTTATTTTTTGTCAAAGAAAAAATCGTCAAATACAAATATAGAGTATAATCAATATTACGTGATATTCAAAACCCAGGGCAAGACACTTGTTTGAACATGGTCGATAATTTCCTCGGATTATTATAGAGATGAATGGGAAAAATGAATTTATTGCTTCGAAAAACTTTAAAACATGAAGAAACCTACCATTGTGATGAAACATAATAACAACAAATATCTAATATTCTAACTTCAGAAACATTTCTGATGCATAGACTAAAATTTACTTATAGCCTCATCCAGATGGGCGAACCTAATCATTTTAACCAGCTTGATGTCATTTTTTCAACCAGGAACACAACACCAAAACGTGTTTCAACAACTATAGTTCCAACGGACTCAAATCACCTTTAAAAAACCCAAAATGCTGAAATCGTCAACACCAACAACTGCCCCAAGTGGTAACTTTCAAAATGAAATGAAATATTTTTTACTGTCAGTTGTCGCGCCGCTAGCGGCAAGCGGCTGTAAGGCAAACTAAAATAAATTTGTTCTGCAATTTAGGTAGAACACCTTATTCAAGTTTGTTATCTTTGCGTACGTCAGTCGCAGACAGATCTCGCAAAAAAAAAACGATTTCGACGTTCTGGGGCCGCGAATCGCGCAAAAGTGAAATCCGCCGACGAAAAAAATACAAAAAATACGCCATTAATTAACGAATTACGGTTCACCACGTCCAGAGAGCGCAACGACCGGCCGCCCTTGGTGGGGCGATGCGCGCACGCGCGTTTCCGCTCGACAATCGGTAGTTTGTGACGATCAACGGAGGCGTGAGGATTTGCGATTTCGGCCGCGCAAATTTGACGAGAAAAACGCCCGAATTTGGTCCGTTGACGGCGTACCGGCGTCTCTAAAACCCTCGGCAGGCGCCGGCAATGCGTTTTGACGGACGTGCGGTGCCCGCGTAGCGTCGATCGTCACGAACGAGCTCGGCGGTTCTGGTGAATCGCGCGAATTTGCTGCGGACACACACGTGTGAAAAATGCCGGCGTCGACTTTCGATCCGGTGAACGCGGCGCTTCGCACCGCGCTGACGAAAAACAACGGCGAGGGCCGCGATCTGGACGCCCAGCTGGCCGGCAGCACGAAGAAAGCCCTTTTGGCAAATATCGACTTCGAGGCGGCGGGCAGTTACCACAGTACCGTGCTAGAAGGGTTGAAAAGCAAATATATCGTGGTGAAGAGCACGGAAACGGCCCCGCAATCGCACATGTAAGGTTTTTTCGCTTTCGTCCGATCGGCGTGCGTTTGCCAAGTTTACGATATCCTACACGTTTGTTTACTGTTACTCTAACCTATTTTTCGCGGCGGGCTTGTGCCGTTTGACGGCGCAAACCGACCAACGTTCGTCTGTGACTTACGGTTTTTCGTATTTAAAGATAGTGTTTATCTTTTTCCATTTCACAAAAAGATTTCCCTTCAAAAGGTATAAACGGATACCACGAAAGCCGAAGGAGGCGAAATATTCGCAGTTTTGTTTATTGCGTTGCGTTTCGCAATGGAAAATGCGATTTATCTGCTACGGCGATTTCTTTTCAACACTTATGGGCTTTGAATGCGAAAACAGACGCCTAACTGGCTACGTACGTCGGTTCTGAACCCTTTGCAAAGAAAAGTTTCAATGTAAGGTTTGGTACTGCTGCAGGTACCTGTTGTGTTAGGTCGCGCGTTATTAAAAACAATTTTTTCTTTCAATGGAGCGACAGAAAGGAGGTAACAGTAATCCTCCGCTATCAGCGAGGGAAAAAAATATTATTTTAAATGGTAGGATTTTACTACGCAAGAAACCGTCGACCGATACACAGTGACTGTGGCAGGGAATAACGAAATTTCAACTGCTGGCCGCGTCCACCGCAACCTATATTTCTAGCGGCTGCATATTGGTTGAAAGACTGTGACGTTCGACGATCGCCTTTCCTACTTTTTAAAGCTGCCGACGAAAAATTCGTCTGTGGCGTTAAATGTTTGACTCTTCTCCGTTGTTGCCAAGTTGTATTTTATGTTTCTTGTACTTATGTTTAATAAAATAAATACATATATGGCAAACAACAACAGAATAACAGAAACTAACAATATACTGGCTTATTTCTACACATAAAACCACCAAAACCAATTTATCTGTTTTTTTTTGATGTTTTGTTTGCGGTTCAACCTGTGGTTCCACTTAAAACCTAAAATCCAAAATGCTGCGGAAATTTTTGAAATATGTATGAGTCATTTTTCTTTATTCCAGATTCGCCCTGTATTTTTTAAATTCAAATTTAAAACGTGTTTATAGCATATTAGCATTTATTAAAAAATATGCAGAAATTATTGTATTTGCCCTTGTGATGAAAATATCCCTTATGTATTTTTTAATAACTCGTTAAACGATATGAATTATAGTTAAATTAAAAGATTTCGCAAATGAAAAAGATTATTTGACCATGTGTCAAATAAATAGTACTAATCATTTAAAATATACCTCATTTTTACAATGTTCTTATATTGTTCCTATAAGTTTTAGCTTTTAAATTCAAGTAAGATACAGCAAAACAACTTTAAACATGTGCGATATAATAAACCATTGAAAAAAAAACTAAAACATTGATATGTGAAACAATATATACGTCGAAGATGCATCATTAGATTTGTTTATAACTGGCATCTCCGGGTGTCATGCTTACCATATTTTCAAAAACTTAAGATACTGACGGCACCTTCTTCGTGCTATCTTGTATTGATTACATTTATGTATTAAAAACAAAATCCTTAATTATTTCAAAAAAGCTATAATCTGTATGTTAAAGTATGCACATACTGCTTACTTTTGCTCATAGCTCCAGTTTTTTCGAAAAAGGGCCTACCAGGCTATAAAAGCTTCTGAAATGCTAGGGCCCTAGAATCCTTATACGTACTCGCGACTAGTAGGTTTATGTTTATCATTGTTAAATCCAATTTTCATTTCTGTAGTATATAATTCATTCGTTTAGAACTATGAAACTGTTTTCCGTATAATATTTCGTGGTTGAACTCGACTGGTATATTAAAATAAAGGTTTTGGTCCCATACGTCTATAAGAGCGGGCCAGAGGAGATGATGATTTTTTATAATTAAATCTTTGTATATCTAATAAAAAAAAAGAGGGTAATTTAATATTGTGTGCTTTTGGCAGACTAGTTTCAGTGTTGCATACTTAAAAAATAGACTGTAGTATCGGCGAAAGCGTGGCGACGCGAGGCGCGACCTCACGTATCAATAAGGTTGCGGAAATTTCCAGCTGCAAGGCGGACGGCGAGCAGCGCAAAGACGAGGACGTCCTCGCGCCCGCCAAACGGGAACTCTATCCGCAGGACGCGGTTAAACTGGGGTGGGATAACGGCACCGAATGGTCGGTGGGCGCCGGAATGGTGAATATGGGCAACACGTGCTACCTAAACTCGACGCTGCAGGCGCTGTTCCACGTGCCGTCGCTGGTCAACTGGCTAATGTCGGACAAGGACCACGCGGGCCTGTGCCAGGACTCCGGGGGTATGTGCATCATATGCGCTATGCGCAAAACCCTGCAGGAGTCGCAGCAACGCAACGTCACCTCGATCAGGCCGATCCTGATCTACAACAAGCTGAGGCTGGTGTGCCGGAACCTGATACCGGGACGTCAGGAGGACGCGCACGAGTTCCTACGGTACCTGGTAGAGGCGATGGAGAAATCGTACCTGCAACGGTTCAAGAACTACGCGGAGTTCGACTCCAAAGTGAAGGTATATTTGAAATGAAAATTTTTAGGTTATGTGGCGAATTTTTGTAGTCCGTGGTAACTAAAAACATTATTAAGGTAAAAAAAAAAACATGTATTTTCAGTGTTATTTTGTCAATTTTGATTTTGATTTTTTTTTTTCACGGAAGAAACACATCTAGTTTTGGTTAATTTTGGTGAACCCAAAACTGTCTATTTCTCACGACCCGGTCTTATGCCTTTTATCTTATAAAAAGGTTTTCGAGGAAAATGGATTTCAAAAGTACACCCACCGTTTATTTTCGTTTGATGGCCCACAAGCCAGCTATTTTTATGTAAGTTAAAGTCGTAATTCCGTATTGAATGAAAAAACACTAATTTACGTTTATTGAACTGAGGTGGCTTTTACTTAACGAAAATCCATTTATCAAAATCATCAAAATAAATAAAAGTTCAGACTTTCACGAAATTATATATTATGACATGACAATTGTTTCGACAACACCGCGTCTTTATCAACATTGTTGTCGAAACAATTGAATATATATATATATATATATATATATATATATATATATATATATATATATATATTCACAGGAACATATGCAGTGTTGTTATAAAAACCGTTTTCCAGGAGACGACGCCTCTGAACCAGATCTTGGGAGGATACTTGCGATCGGCGGTCCGTTGCCTGCGGTGCGGCCACGTCAGCACGACGTTCCAGCACTTCCAGGACCTGCTGCTCGACATCAGGAAAGCGCAGACGGTCGCGGAGGCGCTCGAGTTGTACTTTTCGCGCGAGAAACTCGACGACGAGTCGTACCAGTGCGAGGCGTGTCAGAAGAAGGTACCCGCTACCAAGCAGTTCTCGATCGAGCGCGCTCCGATGGTGCTCTGCGTTCAGCTCAAGCGTTTCTCCGTCAGCAACAACAAGATCACGAAACACGTGACGTTCAGGCAGAGGCTCGACCTGACGCGGTTCGCGCGCCAAAAACCCCACTCGCCGCTCATCTACCGCCTGGTGGCGCTGGTGACGCACATGGGACCGACGGTCAGCTGCGGCCATTACACCGCGGTCGCGCAGGCGCCGTCCGGCAACTTTTACCAGTTCGACGACAGCATGGTAAATATAACCATGGATAAAAGATGTAAATACAGTAAATTCCGTTTATAACGTACATGGGATATAACGTACTTCTGGGTATTTCGGGATTTGTAATAAAAAAACTATAAGCTATGGTCTGTTCATATATATAAGTGACCAATTGCTTTTGAATGGGATTATCCAAGAGTTGTCATTAACATACAGCGTAACAAGATTATTACCTAAAATTTCGGAATTTAAATTCCGGTAAAATTGTAATAATTTGTAATTTTATTTTAGATTTAAACATAAATACATACATAAATAAATAAATATTTCCTAACAAAACCCCAAATAATTAAATTCTAAGCAAAGTACGGCCCTGTTCCTTAATTTGTATCAGTTAGTCATTTTCTTATATCTATGGACAGACTTTACCTACAAATATGAATTTATCGTTTCTCGAAATATTCACCGTGATGATCAATAGCACTTTTCTCACATCGAGTCGGGCACCTCCAAAACACTAAAATACTAATTATATCTTAATTATTTTGAACCGAGACTACTGACAAATTTGCTATGTGTCATCCGAATTGCGTCCAAACAATGTCGAGTGCGTTGTGCAGTGTAATATAACCTCACTTTATTTGTTTGTGTATTATTGTTATCGCCCACTCCAGGTGAGGCCGATATCGCACCAGACCGTGTTCAACACGAACGCGTATATCATGCTCTACGAGCTGGAGTCGGCGCCGACGCAGTCGCCGAAGGCGGCGCCCAAGGCGAAGGCGCCGAGCACTATCACCGAGCCGGCGTCGGACTCGACCGCCGTCGCCGCCCCCAAAATCCCGAACGGAGTCGGTTTCACGAGCGACAAGATGTACGGGCCGGAGCTCCCGCCCCCACCGCCGCCCCCGCCACCTGTTAAGGCGAACGGCGGCTTAACGTCGACCAACGGCGCCGCCCCCGTGACGTCGTCGTCGTGTCGCGGCGCCGACGACTCGAGCGGCGGCGACTCGTCCGAGGAGGAGGCGGCGCCCAAGCCCGCGTCGCCGCCCGTCAAGGAACCCGACAGCTCGACGGCGGCGACGACGTCGTCGAGGGACGCGTCGCCCGACTCGGCGTCGCCGAAGAAGACCTCTATCTCGCCGTCTAAGTCGCTGGTACCCTACGACACGGGCGACACCAGTAGCAGCGACGACTCGAACCATTCCGAGAGCAAGACGACGGTGGCCGGCGAATGGCAGGTGACGTCGTCGACGGACGTGACGCAACGCGAACCCGGAGGAGGCGGCAACGTCGTCTCTGACCTCTACAAGATGTCGAATTCGACATACGCGACGCCGGTGTTCACGTGGAACGGCACCAGGTCGCAACTGGACAAGGAGGTCGGCGCCGAGAAGCGGGACGATCGGAAAAGGCATGTCGCTGACAGTTCCGGGGACCAGGGGCGGGCCAAGCACCCGAAGATCACTTACGGCAAGTCGAATCCCGGCTACAACCCGATCCAGGTGAGTGGACATGTTCAAACAAATTTCATTCTACCTTTGGTGTACTCGCAGAAAGACCCCCAACAGTACACTATAGAGAGTTAACTTAGCCATTTTTTTTAAAAATAAATCAGAATTTCTAAAAGACAATTCAGATTTTCCGACATAGCTCAGAATTTCCTTAAAAGTAAATCAGAATTTTCGACATAAGTCAGAATTTCTGACATAACTCCTGAGAGACATGTCTGAGTTTCTGAAAATAAATCATAAATTCCGACATAAATCAGAATTTCTGAGAAAAAAGTCGTAGATTAAGACAAGTCAGAATTTCTGAGAAACATGTCAGAATTTGTAAAAAATAAGTCAGAACTTCTAAAAAAACAAGTCAAAATATCAACAACTCAGGTGGGTAGACATTTCCAAAACAAATTTGGTGTACATTTCTGAGGAACATATCAGAATTTCTGAAAAACAAATCAGATTTTCCGACATAGGTCAGAATTTCTGAAAAATAAATCAGAATTTCTGAGAAACATGTCAGAATGTCTAAAAAAAAAAACAAGTCAAAAACTCAGGTGGGTGGACATTTCTAAAACAAATTTGTGTACATTTTTGAAAAACCAATCAGATTTTCCGACATAGGCCAGAATTTCTGAAAAATAAATCATAATTTCAGACAATTCAGAATTTCTGACATAACTCCGAATTTCTGAGAAACATGCCAGAATTTCTGCAAAATAAATCAGAATTTCCGACATAACTCATAATTTCTAAGAAGCATGTCAGAGTTCCCGAAAAATAAATCAGAATTTCCGACATAAGTCAGAATTTATGAGAAAAAAGTCGTAATTTCCGACATAAGTGAGAATTTCTGAAAAACAAGTCATAATTGATGTACATCAATCAGAATTTGTGAAAAATAAGTCAGAATTTCTAAAAAACAAGTTAAAATTTCAACAACGCAATTGAGTAGACATTTCCAAAAAAAATTGGTTTACATTTCTGATGACTTTACGGCGTAATGAAACCGTGGATTAGTTAAGTTAAGGCAAATATATTTTTGTATTGTTATGGTTTTGAGGAACACCCTGTATAATGGAAACATGGTTTCAAACTTTAAACGCTCTAAACAAGGGAGATACTGTGCGATGTCCGGCCGGGGCACAGCACACTTGATCTCGTTTGGAGTCGGTTGTACGGATTTTACCCGGGACGTTGTTTTTATTTTTGTGCAGGAGTACCACAACGCGAAGAACTGGAGCAACGGGTCATCGTCTTCGGGCGGGTACCACAAACCTTTCTACGGCGGGAACCGGCACCGCCGCGGGTTCCACCACAAGGGCAATTTCCACAAAAACAACTACCGGTTTCGGTAATCGGCCGCGAGAGAGCGTTGTAAAAATTTGTATATGGTCAGCCCAAGTTTTTGTTTCCGTGTTAGTTTTTTACGCCTACGCGCGTTGTTTTGAACGTTTTGTTGGCCGCCTGCGCATTTTACGTGTAATATAGTTATTTTTTTTAATTTCCTGTATGTGTACAGTCCCCCCCCCCCCCCCCGGTCTCGTTTTATCCCCCTAAGTATAAATAAAAGTTTTAAGATTTTCGTATGCCACGTGTTTGACTCCCCCCCAGGTGACGTCACGAAAACCGCTGACGTCATGTGTCAAAATCGCGTTTGGTGCGCCGACCGCATGCGTAACTAGCCAAACTGCGCAAATGTCGCAGTAAATATGACGTCCGTTGACATCACGACACGAATGGACGAGGTCTGCGAGAGAGATAGAGCTAGTCAAGGCAAAAGCTTTTTACATTAAAAAGAAAATATAAACACAAATTCCCCAAATGATTATTATGGTTCAAATAATACCACGGTACAGGTCGTATTTATGTCTTCATTTTCTGTTACATTGGGGAATATAAACTTATGGAACTCTTACAATTCTAATAATGTAGGGTCCAATCCAATCTTGTTAGCACGTCAATGCTAATGCCTACATCACAAGGCTGTGAAATACTAAAGTAAAGTCATCACATTACATCGCGTTTTTAATATCAAATAAAAAGGATAAAAAAAAACGGATAAACGAACATATAACCCTAGAGCGACCGGCTTACGTGATGACTCACCGATTGTTTACAGTCTGTCGTTTCACCGCCTTATTGCAGAGGTCGCATTGTGTATGACTCCCGCAGTAATCAGTAATCACCGACATCTGTCTTTATTAAGCCCATAAAAACCAAAAGTAAGCGGCACTAACGAAAAAAAAATTGGAAATATAAATGTTTAATGTCGCCTGAAGGCCGCATGCTCGTCAACCGCGCGCAACTAACCAAACTTATCTGCACAAATGTCGGAGTAAATATGGAGCCGGCGAACGTGTCATCGCTCCTTTTAACGGACGATGAGCCGGACTACGTGCTTTTCAAGGTGGCGATCGAGGCAGCGGAACGGGGCGCGAACGTCTGGTTCATTTCGACCGAGCCATTCGTGGCGATCCCCGACAACATCGAGCAGCCCGAGAAACACGTGCTTCGCCTCATTACGTTCATGTAAGATCGCGGCAACGTTGCAGCTCTGTCGATAATCGCGACATTACAGCTACCTGAAGACGTTGGACGATTTGGTGGAGCACCTCGACGGGACGCACGCGTGGTACAAACCGCCGTCCCTGATTATATTGAAGGACGCCCATTCGTATTGCGGTCTCGCGGAAGATCGTTGCGACGTGTTTAAAGCGGCCATGTTGGCCACGGTTTTAATCGACAGCGCCGCGTGTTGCGCATCGAAAAGATCTACCAAGTGTCGCGTTTTAGTTACCTGCTGGGGTTGCGTAGACGACAGCTTGCAGGTACTGTACGATATGTATTTTAGCGAGGTGTTGGTCAAACGCGAGTTCGACGATGACGAATCCTTGCTGGTTAAGGTTAGGGACTTTTTGAGCCGCAAATGACGCATCTTGTTTTTATTAAAAACGACTTTTTATTAATATTACTTGTAAAAACAATCCACAAAGCACAGTTAATCTGCTAATCTCTGGTAAAAATAAAATTTACGGCAAAGTTACAGTGTAAGGCAGTAGAAGGTACTGGGATAGCAGCACCAAATTGTGAGGTTAGGAGATGGTTTTGTAGTTCGCAAGCCTTGATGGTTAAGGTTAAGTAAGGACTGTTTGGGCAACAAACGACGCATTTTTTTATGTTAAAAACGACTTTTTTAAAATATTATTTGTAAAAACAATATACATACAGTTAATCAGTGAACCACTAATAAAAATAAAATTTACAAGATTACAGTGTAAGGCAGTATAAAGGCACCAGGATGTCATGCGTAAATTGTAAAATTAGGCGATGGTTTTGTACTTCAAGAACAAGTTGTAAAGCACGCGCAGGGTCGACTTCAGATCCATATTCACCACATCTGAAAAAAAAAACGGGTTACAACACCTACATAAATAACTAAAACCAATGTACCTTCTGGTCTGGCCTTGGGCCGCTTGAGGCCGACCTCTTCCATCAATTCAAAGGCGAAGCTTACATTGTGCACCTTCTGATCGAACTCGTGCGGGGTCAGGTGGAACGCGTAATGCGGCACAAAGAACCCCTCGAGCAAGCCCATAAGGATGACCAAGTAGACGCCGTCATGAAACTGAGTCTCCAACTCAGTCACCTCAAAGTTCATCTTGTTCAGGTGCTTGTTGACGAACGTGACCAGCGATTTCTTGACAATTTGTAATTTTTCCGGGGCGTGGTCGAACAGGGCGTCAAATGCGTCCCGTTCGCACCTCATCCCGACGTCGTCGTACGAAGTCGTCAGGTTTTCGCGCACCTTGTTGGTCACCAGCTGACCTTGCTGCTTTTTCACGACAAACACGTTAACCGACACGTTCTCCGTGAGACGCACGGGGGGCCGAAAATGCCGCGCCAACGCAACCAGCAAGTGGATAATAGCCACTATGTTTTTCGAATGGATCGACTCGACGCTCCACCTGTTATGTCCCGACCGCCCCAACCCCAAAACTTGATTGCAGTGGCCCAAAACGACGGCCAATTTCTGTTTCTGGCCCTCCTCGCTTTGGGTTACTTCGGGGACGTCGAGTTTGTTGCTCGTTAGCTTTTCGAGGAGTTTCTGCAGTACCTGGCCGTCGTACAAGTCTTCTGCCAACTCCTGGACGATTATCCGCTGCGAGGCCAGCTCGTCGTTTATCCACTCCTTCAAAACGGTCATCAGATCGCGGAATTTCGAATCCTCGTACGCTTTCACGTCTATCAGGCATCTTTCTTCGTTGTCTTCCAAGTTGTACTCCTCGGGCGGTATCTCGGGGGCGGTCGGGGCCCCCGGGGAGTCTATCGCGTATTTCCCTTCCGTCTGCACCTCTTGCACTGCAAAACGATAAGTTAGAAGCACCACACCTTGTTCCGCAATGGCCATATAAGGCAAACGTCGTTCGCGAACGCTAATGGGACGTCGCCGCGCGGGCGTTACCTTCCTTGATGCGTTTCTTGCGTCCCAACGTGCCCAAGGTACCCAATTTATCCCAGATCGATTCGTCTTTGTCGGGTTTCGGACCGACGGGCCTCGGTGATTTGGGCCGTAACGTCGCCATGTTTGTGTCGTCGGGTTTGTTTTGACGTTTGACAGTTGCAGCTGCGACAATTTGGTCAGGTACGAGTTTGATTAACCGCAAATTCTATTACCGTTCCTCGAAGCCTCATCGTTGGCGAGAATCTCTTGACGCTTTTTCTGGTTGACGACGTTCAACGTTCGATTTAGTTCTCGGCGGAAATCTTCCGGATGCCGCATGCGTTTGTCGCTAGTCGCGAAGTCTGCACCGTTTATTTCCACGGACGACTGTCGATATAAAATTCGGCAGACCGGCTTTTCTTCCCCGTTTAGCATCGTAAATTGGATTTAGAAATATTTTCTTGGGAACGGACGTGCTCGTTACAAAAAAGTACTCGCACCGACTGAGCTGTTTCCTGTTCCGTTCGCGATAATAAAACCGCTGTTTCGCCGATATCAACGACGTCCACGTCAATTTTATTATTCTTTGTTTACTAGGTCGTTATATATTAAACATAGTCTCGTTGCAGGATCACGATTTTAAAGTACAATAAAAGTTTTCCGGTCATATGTCATACAGGAATTATTGAAGTGACGATGAAATGCGCCACCTAATAAGACCTAGCGACGACGAATATGGCCGCTGACAACTCGTCAATTCAACAGTGTAGCAGTTTTATTACTGCAACATTTTTTCTTAATATGTCCAGATTTAGTTAAATGCTCTTGGAAAACGATTTGTGTGTGTGGAGATCGTTGTTTGGAAATAAAATGGCGCAAAATGTAGGTTTTACTGTGAAAAAGAAAGGGTATAGGTCCAAAGTAGCTCAATCAGTCAATCAATTTATGCTTTAGAGTCAGAATAGATCCTTTGGGTCGCAGTAACGTACATTCCAAATCTCTAACTCTATGTAGGGTCACCTGCCCATTTCTCCACCTGAGGCGCATTAATTTTCACCGCAATATTATCTATATTATCTCATACTTATATGGCCTCCTCTATTAAAGCAACATTAAGGAAATCGGAGACAGAACTGTGGAAATTGATTAATTGAAGGTTGGCTGTAGATTCAGTTCCACGGCAGAGAGAAAACAGAGGTGCAGGCTCATTGGTGTATCCAGCTCGACATACAAAGTGGTAGATAAACGTTAAACTCAAAAATGGAAAACGGCTTTTGGTAATGAACACTTTATTAAGTTTCTTAGAAAGAAAATGAGGTGGGAAAATAATCTAATCGGAAACAAAGCCCCACACTTTGAGGCTACCGGCGTCCCGTTTCCGGTCGTAAGTGTCTTTATCGTCGCAAGCGTAGGCGAGCAAGTACTGGGACGGATGCCAGGCGACCGTGAATGTGGCCCCGTCCACGCTTATATCGGCGATTTTGTCGCCCGTCTCCACGAACGCTATATCTATGATGAGGTCTTCCGACGCGCTCGCTAGCAGCTGCCCGTCATGGCTGAAGGAAATCGTCCTTACCGGCCAGTCCATCCTGAAACCGATCGGTTTAGAGAAGCGGGTGGTGGTGGTGCGAGACGCGCAACAACCTAGTGAAAACCCTTTGACAGGCCAATTCGTTAATGTCCCATAGAGATACCAGCGCGTCCGCGCTCCCGGTGGCGAAATACTTGCCGGTCGGGTCGAATTCAATGCAAATGCAAGTACCCGGGTGCGCTTTCAGCACGTGCTGACGTTTCAGCTCCGGGTAACTCAAGATGTGCACACAACCGAGGCCGTTGGTCAAGAAAAACAGGTCGCTGGTGTTGTTCCAGCTGATTTCGTTGACCTCGAAGTGAAATTGTTCCTCCGCTTCGATTTTGTGCGTCCTGGCGTCGATGAAAGTGACCAAATCCTCCTTGTTACCGACCGCGATGGCGTTACCATCCGGCGACCAGGTTATGTTGATGTTCTCGCCCTTGGTGCTGATCGTGGCGACGCATTTTTGCACCCTCGTGTCCCATATTCGGACGGATTTGTCGCCGCTGGCGGTGCTCAAAAGGTCGGGGTTCGTTTGATGCCAGCATAGCTGATCCACCGAACCCCCGTGACCTTTGAACGTTATTTCCTTGTTCTAAAAACGCATTTGGTCGGTTCCCAAAAGAGTTTTAAAATAAAACATTACAAGGATTACAACCACAAAATAACATCACCTAAACAGGTGCAAGAAAGGTTCATAAATTCCACATATTCTTAGAGGGAAAACGATAAAAATAATAAAGCGTCTTTATTTGCCGAAAGAATTGAAAAAATCATAATACTAGTAAAAAAAACAGGAACCAACAAAAGAGTATTAAGAGGTTTGTGAGTGAAAGAAGTAGTAAATTGTAAGCTTTCAGCCATTTTTGGCGAGATCCGACATCGCACCAACTCGATCAACCGCAGCTAATTTGAATGCGGCAAACTTACCAGCCGGTCTCTGTCAAGAGTGTAAATGCAGACGCATTTATCGAAGGATCCCGAGGCGAGTCTTTTGCCGTCGCAGCTCCAGCCTACCGAGTGAACTTTGGACGAATGGCCCAAGTACTCTTTCGATTTGCTGTGGGTTTTGAAGTATTTCTGAAATTCGTCGATTTTGTCCGTAAACATTTTTAACCACACTTGGCTTACTGTTTACTAAACAAACACAGAACAATCAATTATTCATTGCGCTTTTTACTTAACGGTGGGCACCTATACTTGGGGCAGTGGCCCCACATGTCGGCCATAGATTCAGTTATTCTATGATTTATATCCCAAAGGAATAAACTCTGGTAACTTCCATAGCTCTTTAGCGCAAATCTTTATTATGGGGGAAATTACAAGACTAACCAACATGAATTACGAACGTCATCAATTCTAACCTCTATTTTGTTCCGAGTGTAAGCAAATTTAAATTAAAAAGAATACATCAGTTCGACGCTATGACGGAAGTAAAATTCAACGCGCGGGCGTTTAGCAAAATCATATTACACGCCGTAAAGTATCCCCACTGCGCCGTAAACGGTGTGCTGCTCGCAAAGGGGCACGCAGTGTCCAACAAGGAAATCGAATTCGTGGACGCGGTTCCGCTATTCCACATGTCGATTAACTTAACCCCTATGGCGGAAATCGCGCTGATGCAGGTATTCGTGGTAGATAACAATATGCGCGGTGTCGCCTGACGTCCGTTTTAGATCGACGAATTCGCGTCGACCAGAGGCCTCGTAATAGCCGGTTATTACGCCGCCAACGAAAATTACAAAGACAATTCGTTCGATAAAGCGTATCACAGGATAGCGGACAAAATAGCGGCGAATTTTACGCCGTCGTTCCTCGTTGTCGTGAGTAGTTCAAATGTACCGCGGTGTTGTACGAGATAGCCAAGGTTTTACTTCAGATAAACAACATGAAATTATCGAACGAACCAGACGCAAGCGTTCTGAGGGTAGCTCAGATGGCGGATGGAAATTTGAAGGTCTGCGATGAACAGAATATCCGTTTGAGCCCCGTGGAGCAGACCCAGCAAATCATTTCGAATCTGCTGCAGCAGAACGCTTACAACGATTTAGTCGACTTTGACAACCACCTGGACGACATAAGTCTCGACTGGATGAACGTCAAGCTTAATAAAGAAATAGGTTTCGTTTAAACTGACTTGCACATATGTTAAGCCAAAGTTGTATCAGTCTCCTGTTGCATATTTATTTTGGATTTTGTATAAAAAATAATATACCACTGAAGGCAAAGGTCAGTTGGCCACTCTTTGTCTTTTATTTTATTGGAAAGGAAACAAGAAAACAAATAATTTTATGAAATTACCTTTAATGCTTCCAAATTTGTTAAGCAAATAGGTTCTCTTAAAAAATAATTCGCGTTAAAGGAGATTTCCACAAAAAAAAAAACGAAATGATGTCATACGCGGAGACCCGAAGGTTAATGTAACCTTCACTGAGCGCGTAACCGTAGAAAAATAAATTCGGGCGGTCAAAAAAACTGCCACTTTCCGAGGACAGCGTCTTTGATCGCGTCCACATACTGCGCGGGTACCCAGTATATCCAATAGCGGGACGCCTCCGTGGGACCCAGCTGCAACCCCTAGAACGTAAACTGGTTAGGGCTCAGAACGATCCCGCGCAAATCGTCACGGACCACAATGTGGTATTCATCGTGGCCTTCGATCGGTTCCGATATTACACTCTTGATGGACCCCATCGGAAGTTTCTCAGTCCTTTCTTTAGTGCTGAGCCATAATTGGTCGTTTTCGAGCTTAAAAGTCAGCCTCACCTTGCCGCCGTGCTTATTCAACATGCCGGATAAGGGTACGGGAGGCAAACCTTCTTTGACATTCTTAATGCCCGGCATTACATCTTCCGGGAGTCCTTTGTCCAAGACTTTCCGGTGGATTTTCTGTTTGCAGAGAGGCTCCTTTGCGCTGGAGGCTTTCTCCAACTCCGCCACATCCTGTTTGGTCACCGACGATACGGCAAGAATGTCATTCAGAGTAGAGCCCACCAACATCACCTTCGAGCCTTTCACGATGCCCGAACCGGCTATCGTTTGAGTATCTTGCAATAGACCTTTGTACATCAGCTTCTGCATCGAATCAGGCACCCCTTCAATGTGAAAGCGCAGTGAAATCGCCTCGAAACAAGCTATCTACTCACCCAAAAGGCCCTGTAACTGTTTTTTAAACTCCGATATACTGGAATCCGAGGGCGCGCTCACGTCATACTTTTTTTTATTGTAAATCACTTTAATATCAATAGTCTCTTGAGCTCCATTGGAACCTACGGCTCCGTCCCCCTCGGTTTTCGCTATTTTACATTCCGTAGGCTCCGTAGATTTATCACTGTCGTCTTTGGTACTGTTTTGCAATACATTTTCTACATTCTCGCTCCCGTTACCTGAAACTTGTTGGTTATATTACCCACGAAACCCATTGTTCCACATGATTTGGCAAATTTCATTCGCTAGCGTAAACGACTATCGAACGGGGTCAAAACGTATCGACCGTTGGAAATTTAAAACGTTTACCTATGCACTCCATTGATTTTCGTGCTAATTACCGTGTTTACGTTACTTTGAAAAAAATCGCTAAATCTACAGCCCTACGAATTTGACATTTATTTTTAGAAAGCTCCTATCACAGACGTCGATTTATTTTGACGTCGTTCCTGGCGCCACCTGTTGCGGAGCGCACGAACAATAGCGTTTATTTGCTCTAATGACTAGATGATGCCAGAACTCGGTAATTACTTTGCGTTAGCTACCACTAAGAGATGTCGCCACAAGAAAAGCGGTTTCGTAATTGGAAGTTTGGTTTCTAGATGACGCGACAACGTTGGAAAATTTTTAAGGTTTGCATATTAGGTTATGAATAAAGGCGCGTTAGCATTATTGAACGTTTACGGGGGCGATTCGTCGGACGAGGAAGTGCCGGGCCCCCGGGTCTCCACGAAAAGGGAATTCCGCCACGATTCGGACGATGCGTCGAAGCCGTCGAAGTATCGGCTCACTTTTCCGCGGAGGTTTCGAGCTCACGGCGGTGTTTTAGGTTGCCGGTACCCAGGGAATTCATGGACACGTCCGTCGACGCCGAGAATATCGACAACCCGGCTCTCCATGGGGGTCGCGTACGCAGTTTTCGTCACGTGAGAGGTAACTGGGCCACTTTCGTCTACGTCCCGGTGGAGGCTCGGGCCGGAATCGACGAACTCGTGAGTTACGCAGAGAGCATAACGCCGCCGGATTTCGGCGTCCAAAGAGCCTATGATTACCACATAAGTCTCACAAAAACCGTGATATTAAAGCACCATTGGATAAAACCTTTCGTGGACGCGATCAAGACCACGTTCGTGGGGTTCAATAAGTTTGTAGTGTTTTTCGATGAGGTGCGGGTCTACAGCAACGAGGAAAAGACCAGGACGTTTTTGGGTTTGCAAACCAACAGCGGACACGATAGCTTGGTGTCTATAGTCCACGTTTTGGACCGCTGCCTAGCGGAATTCAACCTTCCCCCCTTCTACGAGGACCCCTCGTTTCACCTGAGCGTGGCGTGGTGCGTCGGCGATCGCGAACGCGATTTCGCACATTATCTGCCACGAATCAACGCCCACTTGGCAGAATTGAAAACCGCTCGGTCTCAGGACAACTGGTACATTCTTGTCGATCGTCTCGTGTGTAAAATCGGCAATAAAATGTTTGAATTTCACGTAAAATAAACGCCATTTCCAAAACGTCCAAAAATCTCTTTATTCAATATATAAATACAAACTATAAAGCTTCTAGACCGCCGTCGGACCTCAGCGCCGCCTCCAACGCCGCGAGGTCTTCGGCGTCGCGGTCGAGATCGTCACCCGACGCCGCCACCATTTTCCCGAAGTCGACGATCTCGTCGCGTATCTTTCGTTTCAGTTCGTCTGCGAGGTGCCGCCCGTCGTTCCGTTCTATCTTTTGACGTTTTGCGTCCGCCCCCGACGCGTCCCGACGCTTTCTCGCGTACGTCCTCTTCACCTGGCCGACCTGGCCGCCCGAGAACGTCCTTGACAGCGCGACAAGCGAGCTCGAAGGCGGGGCTACGGCGGCCACCGCGGTCAGCTTGAACGTCCACCGGAACCGTCGGTAAAACAGGTCGCGTTCCGCCACTAAAACCGCTCTGGTTGCGTCCGGGAGGCGGCCGAGATGCGCCTCGACGCACCACGTCGCTTGCGGGGACGACGCGACGCCCGCGAGAGCGCGATAACCGATCAATGACGCCGCCGTCGGCGGCATCAGCGAGCGGAAGGCGAGGTGGCCGTCCGCGCGAATCACCTGCCTCCCGTCTACCGGACGCAGGGCGTCGCACAGGGGCCGTAGCAAGGCGACGTCGGTGGCGTCGAGACGGCCGTCTGAAGCGAAGTCCGCGGGTACGTCGAGACGCGCGCCGAGCAGTGTCAGGACGCGACCGACGGCTCGCGACGCGTCGAGCGCTTGGGCGGCGCTCGCCGCCTCCGAACCGTGGAAAAACTCGACAATCATCTTGTCGACGTCCCCGTGACCAATTTCCGACGGAGTCGCCTCCTCCTTGGAGTCCCGATCCGTAGCCCCGATCGTCGCGCGGATTTCGGCGAGCGTCGGGACGTCGGCGTCCCGATACCGGTCGGCCACCCATCGCAAAAACGGGTAGTTGTTGCCGCGGGAACGCTCGATTTTGCGAGGAGCGTCCCTTATCGCCGCCCCCGGATTGTCCTCGAGGTACTGAACCATCAGTCGATGCCTGTGACGTAGCTGATTGGGCGATCGGTTCATTTCCGACGACAGCGCCGCCCAGCGGCCGGAACCGTGCTTCGCGACGTACGCGAGCAGCTTCTCGTCTTCCTCGACGGTGAAGGAGCCTGGACAGCGGCGCGACAGTTAGCACGATGGCGGCGACACATTCGATTTTTTTTTTAAGCGAAAATATCCGCCGTTGGAGGATTACCACGAGGGGCGGAGCTAACGGGAAAGCGGAAATTGTTTACGACAATTTCTAATGTGCCTTCTAATAACCTACTCCTATCAACTGTCCATCCTACAACTTTTAATTACAACCTAACAAAGCCATTACTAAGAAGATTCGACGCTATTAAAGACTCAGATGTAAACTTTGACACAAAACCGCCCTTTAAAAACCAAATTGATGTTGGAAACATGATATAGCACAGAAAATAAAAGTATGATGGAACAATATGGCAGCCAACACTTTTATGTAAATGGTTTCTAAGGTTGCTTCCCTGTTAAACTGTAAACTGCCGTGAGTTGTTAAGGCAACTTACGTTTTAATGTCACTTCTAGGACCGTAACCCGAAGAATCATTTAATAGTTTAGTTTTTATAAAAATTTAATAAAAACTTCAGTTGATGAATTAATGTCATTATTTCACACGCCAAATTCGTATAGACCCATAAGCATTTATGACGGACAAGTCAACTGGGGCGGCAAATCGCGTATTACGAGAGCGCCAGAAAGGAGAACAGCTCCAAAATAGTCTAAAAGATAGAACGATAATATGTCCGCGAGGAATTTTTGGCCCCTGCTATGGGCCATACTGTTTGACAACCTACTGCAAAAACTGTCCGCACGGAGCTTCTACAGCCTAGCAAAGCTTACTGATTAACTCCGTCGGAGACTACAAAAATTATCGAAAACTGGAACCAAAATGAGCAGCTTACAGTTAACCTGGAGAAAACGACGGTTAATTTTCCAACGAAACTTCCACAGCCTTCTGAAATACTTTTTACAGAACTTCTGGATTGCTCCTGCGTCGGTTTTTGCTGACGTTTCGCCAATCATCCTGCTGACTTCTTCAGTTTCAGTCAAGCTCTGAAGAAGCCAACAGGACGATTGGCGAAACGTTAACAAGATTGCTTTCGAAAAATCGCCGCTGGGCGGGGCAAGTTCAAAAGAGCTTTGCGGTTTCGTGCGGTGAAGGGGCGCATTGTTTTTTTATCATGCTCCTGCGGACCACTATGGAACTTTCGCAAAATCGATGTAATTTAATTGCGCATGCACCCTGTATAAAATAGTAAATGGTTTTGGAGAAAATAAGTTTTTTTTTGAAACTATGCAGGGCGTCACAATAATCAATGACGTCATCGCGTCTTCACGGCCCCCGAAATAACGATTTCAATATGGATTTTTTCAAATATCCCGAGCAGCTTATGCAAATAAACGAAAAGCGCAAATACAAAAATTGTAGCTCTTGATGCGGCCTATGACACCGCTTGAAGCAATTAGCCACATTTTTTACGATTTTTGATTTGCGACTAATAATTTACTGCAAAAGTATATAATAAAAAAAAATGCCTGAAATAAATGTTATTGCACTGGATCTTCCACGTCTGCCTGTTAAATAATTTTGGCAATCGGAATTACCAAAAAAAAAAAAATTCAAAAAATACTTGGTAATATTTGATTGCGCCCAATTTATATATAAGGTTGTTCGGAAAGTCATTTCGTTTTTTCCCGTCAGAGGACTTAATTACGTTTTTTCGAAACCAACTTCACACTTAAGCCGCATAACCATTATTGAGAGCTGATATTGCAAGGCTTGTGTGTGAAAAAGTTCTATTAATTCTACGCAGTAGTTTTTGGTCGGTGACCTTTTAAATATGGAGAGCAATAAGCAGCATTTTCGTCATATTTTACTTTTTTACTTCAGAAAAGGTAAAAATGCTATCCAAGCGTGTTAACAGTACGCCAGTGCCAGAACTGGTTTGCAAAATTTCGATCCGGCAATTTTGATGTCGAAGATGCACCACGGTCTGGAAGGCCGGTCGAAGCTGACAAAGATGCGATAAAGGCATTAGTTGATGCAAATCGGCGAATAACCACACGAGAGATCGGTGAGAGATTAAATTTGTCGAATTCGACTGTTTATGGTCATTTGAAAGGCACGGGCTTAACCTCGAAGCTCGATGTGTGGGTGCCCCATGTCCTTACGGAGCGAAATTTGTGTCGTCGCGTTGACGTGTGTGATTCGCTCCTCAAACGTCAAGAAAATGATCCATTTTTGAAGCGGATTATTACTGGGGACGAAAAATGGGTCGTATACAACGATGTTAAACGCAAGAGGTCATGGAGCAGAAAAGATGAACCGGCTCAAAGCGTGTCAAAAGCCAACATTCACCAAAAAAAGGTGATGCTCTCCGTTTGGTGGGATGTCAAAGGAATCGTTTTTTTTTTGAGCTTTTGCGGGACAATACAACGATTAATTCAGAAGTCTATTGTCATCAACTGGACAAATTGAATGATTCACTTAAAGAGAAGAGGCCCGAATTAATCAACAGGAAGGGTGTAGTGTTCCACCAGGATAATGCGAGACCTCACACAAGTTTGGTCACTCGTCAAAAACTTTTACAGCTTGAATGGGACGTACTGCAACATCCACCATATTCTCCAGATCTGGCGCCTTCCGACTACTATTTGTTCCGGTCCCTGCAAAATTTTTTGGATGGCAAAACCTTTACCTCGAATGAAGATGTCAAAAACCACCTGAACCACTTTTTTGCCAGCAAGGACCAAAACTTTTATGAGAGGGGAATTATGTTACTGCCAGAAAGATGGCAAAAGGTGTTGGACCAGAATGGCCAATATATAATTTAATAAAATATTTATTCATTATACGAAAACTGTCTTTCATGTTCCCCAAAAAAAACGAAATGACTTTCCGAACAACCCAATAGTTTAAATGTGGACACGGACTTTTACTTCTCTGCTAAATTTAGAGTTGATATCTGCAAATTTAGGACACTTAACACACTTCTCATTTAGCGCGAAATATCGGGAACACCCTGTACCTTAAATACAAAAGTTTTTGCTGTCTAGGCGGGCTATATCGCAATATAAAGGAAAGTGAGATCCGAAAGATAGTCCTTTAGTTGTAACCAATTATCAATAATAATATTTCAGTTTTTACGAGTTTGCAGCGCACCCTGTACATTTTTGAAAAGTTGTCAAGAATAAAAGTTTCTGCGTCTTCTGGTTCAAGAATTTTTTTGATCTCGTAAACGGTTTTTTAAAAATGATGTTTTTCGTATAACCTTGCACACGCTTTTTTTATTTTTTTAGAACACTTACCGACCCCCCCGCCGCCCCATTTTAAATAGGTCCCGTCAAGGGGCAAAGCTGCATATATATGCCAAATGTGTAGTCGACTGCTTCAAATCTCGGACACGTATTGTGTTTCATAGCAATGTCCAAAAAACCGTCGAAAAAGATGGATTCGAAAGTTATTCAGGAAAAACCAAAAGACGAGAACCTAATGAGGGCAGGTACTTTAGGGCGTGGCTTCCCCTTTGACCATGAAAGGGCGGCCTTCCTTTCGGATGGTCCTCAGTACCAACCAAGGTACTTAGTTATTATATATAGAGACAGTTCATGGATCCAAAAATGGAATTGTGTCCCAAAATTACAACATGGCCATCCTTTTAGCCCCGTCCTCGATAGAGGTATAAGACGACAACATAGGGACGCTGAGGGATCGTAATATGAAAATAATTTCAATTCCATCTCACCCTTTTTCCAATTAACCTTGAGATTGGTGGTGTACCTGGCCTTCAGCTGGGACATGGATCGGGTCGGAAAGTACTTCTGACATTTGGCGAAGCTGGTGCCGAACCGATCGACCAGTACCATCAGGAGGACGTCCTCGGCGTCCGTGAACGGTCCCTTCGTGATTTTCCCACGTCCGTTTAAGTAGTACCGCCACCGGTAGAATATCTGCTTGCGGGTGTGATTCTTAAAAAAGTGCGCTATTTTCGCCCAGGGAACGTAATCGCCCACCGAGTGGTTCTCGACCATCTCTACCAGGAAGGCGTCCTCTTCGGGCGTGAACTTGCCCGGGCGCAAGGTATTGCCCGTAAAGTAATGGGTGCACGTGATTAGCGCGGAACGTGAAGTGCCGAGATCACTCGCGATCCGCTCCCAGTTCTGGTGTTTGTATTTCCGGACCAACTTGTCCAGTTTCTTTCGCTCGTCGAGGGACCAGGGCGTTTTGTTTATGCGGGGGTCTTGGTACAGGTACCAAAACGAACGACATTCCTGCGACGAGTACTTGCTTCGCAGGAACGTGGCCGACAATCTCGCCCAATCCATCAATCTGAGATAGGAGGAAAAATACAAAACATTTAGCGCCTCAGGATGCACACGTTATCAAATATTAATAGATTGCTATGCATGGGCGAATATTATCAAATAACTTGCCCATCGCTACGTAAAAAAAAAAGTACCTATTGGTAACAGAAAATGTGGTGATGCTCACCTATCTGAGGATTCCGTAGGCAATTCCTGGTCATCAGAATTGATCGTTTCGTTCAGTTTAGCCACCAGCCCCTTCAATTCTGCTATTTTATCGGTGCGGCGCTCCCCTAAAATATCCTCTTCCAACTGGGTGATTTTTTTCTTGGTTTCCATGTCTCTGCCGGCTTTGAAGCAAAACGTGACTCCCCTCTTCAGTCGGTTAATGTCTCTGCGATTCCACTTATTGGTGGGCACCATGTCGTAAAACGGGAGCTCGCGGTTCTCCTCTTTTCGGGCGACGTACTCGTTCATCGGGCATGGATAATTGTCCGTGCTCTTAAAATAAGGATAACCGAACCTCCAGATCCTGTTGATCACGCGTTTGAATTGATCGGAACACGAATCGATCTGCCGCGATTTCGCGACGATGTTGCTTTGGCACTCCATCAGCAGATGTCTTATTTTTGTGTACAGCTGCATCAATTTTACGTTCTTGCTTCGGTTTAGCTCCAACAATAACTTCAGATCTGGGTCTCGACACGAGTCGATCAGCTGCTTTTCGTCGTCGGTCAGCAAAGCGGACGGCACGTAATCCTTCAGGGCGGAAATGTCCGCACACGTATCGAAATCCTGATCGTCCTATAAAACAATTCTTTTTATGAGGCGCACAACAATCCTTACGCCCGTCCGTGTTACCTCATCGTTGTCGCTGACCTCTTCGTAGTTGATGAACGAGTCCGATTCGTGTTGTCGGATAGCGGCGTCCAATTTTTCAATGTCCTCTATCTCCCCTTTAAACATTTTTCGGCATTTCTAACCTCACAAAATTGAAATCCAATTAACACAGAACGCAGATTTTGGCGCGCCATCTCGTGACCAATAGCCCAAATTTCAAGGACCAACTCGGCTAGTTATATGCTAAGAGCCGATTTTTTCATCCATTTAATTAATCAGAAATCACATATTTTAAAGCAATTTGTAATGTGGCTTCATCAAATACAATGCGCAAGAAAAAAACTGAAAAAAACGATAGACGAACAGTACACTCGTTCGCGAGCCTGCGCATAAGCTCTCCAAATTAAATATTCAGTCATTTTTACAACGCAAGCAGGGGAGAGCGTGTGTCGAGTTCGTAGAAGTGTGGTTCAATGACTTTGATAATCTCACTTGGAAAATATTGTTAATTCGTTCGGCGCTATGATTTCCATACGGTACACTTCGAATTTGTTTTTGCGTGCCTTCTGCATCGTTTACCTGTCGGCCTTTTTGTCGTTTTATTACCAAATTCCAGGTGAGAGACGCCGTAGTCGAAGGCGGCAATACCGCTATTCGTAAGCGTGGTCAACGCGTCTATTAATAACGTTTACGTGGAAAAAACGAAAATTGTGTTTTTTTGTTTGGAAGGCTTGTATGGCGACAACGGCGTACTCCCTGCCAGCTCGGTGTTGGAAAACAGCAAACACAAGACCCTGTCGGCCAAAATCCACTACCAGCCGACCCTGTTGTGGCTCGCGCCCTACTTAGGGCTCAGCACGAGCTACGCCTTGGACGTTTTGGCGCTCCTGGGGGCATTTTTGGCTTTTACTGGGTCTGTGCTCGTTCGGATTCGTTAATCAGTGACTTTCACGGCCCGCTTCGATTTTTAGGTTCATTTCTCAGAAGTTCTGCATCATACCCGTGTTCACAGCCTTGTGGTCGTTGTATTTCTCCATATACCAAGTCGGGCAGGTTTTTGTTTCATCAAGTTTGTAAGTATCATTTAACCCAGTTGATATTCTATACACCTTGTTTCCGACTCATTGAGTTTCACAGAAGATATTACTATAAAACGACCTTGAAACGCAGTTTCAAGTGTTAACATAAATTGCTGCCTTAGTTTTTGCTAAACAAACGACAATTTTTATTTTTAATCAAAAACTTAATTGCATATATTATGCATATATATGAAAGCTATTCCAACAAACTAAACATGTCTAAAACCATTGCTTCTGTTTGGCGCCATCAAAATCAAAGTATCGTAACCTAACAACGTTTCTACGTGAAGTAAACGCTTTCAGCGACGACTTCTTGCTGGAGGCGGGCTTCCTCGCGATCTTCGTCGCCCCGTTCCTGCCCAACCGAAAAAAAACGTCCAAAGGCTCGGGCGTCGACGCCATATCGCTGTGGATGGTGCGATGGTTGCTCTTCCGTTACCTGCTGACGTCCGGCGTCGCGAAATTGTTGAGCGGCTGTCCGAAATGGTGGACACTGACCGGTAGTCCCAACGACCTCGCGATTTTCAACGGTTAACGACCGAGTTTCAGCTTTCAACCACCATTTTGAGACGATGCCGCTGCCCAGTCCCCTCTCGTGGTACTCCCACCACCTGCCGTCGTGGATCTTGCGACTGACAGCAGTCTACGCCAACGTCTGCGAACTCGCGTTGCCGTTCACGTTCCTGCTGCCCGTCAGGCACATCAGGATCACGGCGTTCGTCTTCCAGCTGTTCCTGCAGACGTGCATCGTCCTAACCGGTAACTACGACTTCGTCAATTTGCTGACGGTCACGCTGCTGCTCTCTCTGCTCGACGACAAGTTCTTTTACGGCAGCAAAAAGGCCGACTCGAATTGGGGCGTGGTCGGTCACGTGGCGAACGCGGCCCTGTTCGCAGCCATCTCCTACGCCGCCCTCCGTCTCTATTCGATCAAACTGGACGGAGGCGTGGTCGACGCCCACATAGGTAAGTTCCGCCACCACAAAAATCGCGTCCCGGCCACGCCCATGCGTTTCAGCGTTCTCCAAAGGTCAGTTTAACGAGTTCGCGGGTCAAGCGCTGGTCTACACCCTTCACCTGGGTCTCGTCTCTCTGGCCGGTACGGTACTGTACGGATTGTCGCGAGTACTGTTCGGCAACGAGCACGGGAACAAGTTTTTCAACGTCGTGAAGACGTTGTTCTACGCGTTGGTAGCGCTGACGGTGTTCTTTTCGAGCACGGTGCCGCTGGCGTCGCTTCATCCGGCGTCCAACGCGACGGTACACCCGACCCTGCGCACCGCTTACAACAGACTGCACAAGACGCGCATCGTCAATCAGTACGGCCTGTTCGCGAAAGTGACGGGCGTCGACGGTAGGCCCGAGATCGTCCTAGAGGGCGCGGACGGTCTCGATGGACCTTGGAAAGAGTACAACTTTTTGTACAAGCCGGGCAACGTCAATCACTCGCTTCCGTTCGTCGGTAAGTCACTACAGCCATATTGCTTTTCTTCATTATCTGGTTGTTTTGGAAATTCATAACTGTAGGCTCTGGAACCGTGTTGTTTTTCTTCCTCCATTTTTAGTTTGTATTTATTTCAAAAATAATATTTACATAACCTCAAAAACATAGTCTAAGTAGCTATCTACGGTCCTATGAAGATCAAGGGTTTCCAGGGGGGTAAGTTTGTAGGGATGATTTGCTGCATGTCGCATAAGATCTGTTTATGGTGATAGTCGGCAGATCAATCATGGAGTATCACGGGATCAGTTCTCTCTCAATATCATAACTCTAAGTTCTTAAGCCTTGTTCTTCCCCTTCATTTTCAATTTGCAATTATTTCAAAAATAATATTTAGATAATATGAGTCAACGGTTAAAGCTATCTACAGTCCTGTGAAGGTCGAGGGTTTTGAGGAGGGTAAGTTTATAGGGATCATTTGCTGACCTCAGCAAGACCCTTAACTGCATGTCACATGAGATCTCATGCTGGTGAGGGTGATCTCGCTGATAGTGGGGCGATCAATCCTGGAGTACCGCGGGGTCAGTTCTATCACCAATTTCTATTCTTAATTATAGATATTTATGAGCCAAAAAAAAAAATGTATCTCTTTTTCCATTTATACCACAGCAGCATCTGCCTTTAACTGGTATAAAACTCGTGGTAATGAAGATATAGACCCTGAATTTTTTAGATTGGAGGAATCTAGGTATTGTATAAACTATTTTCCTTCTAAAATTTGCAATAAGTCACCAAATACTATTAAATAAATAGGAGTAAAAAAAACAACTAAGAACTATAAAAGATACTTTGGAAGCACCAGTAAAGGTTTACTATCTCCAAATACCCCTAGGTAATTTGGGCACGAGACCGTTCTTCTTCCGAACATTTCATTAAAAAAAAATTCCTTTATGTGCCCGAGATAATCCAGTTTGCTTCTATTTTAATCGCGTTCCCCAATTATTTTTCCTTTTTGTTAATCCAGTGCTATTTCCTTCTGTAGGACGATCTCTTCAGTTAATGTCCATGACTTTATTCAATACCTAATACAATAAAAATTAGAAAATGCACAACAGTTCATGTAACTTAAGTGAATGTGTTGATAAAAAGGGACGAAGCTTTGGAACTTTTCTCTCATAAATCGGCATCAAGTATAAAAGGTGTCCAGCTTAGGGTTACTAATTGTACAATCTGATAACCACAAACAAGAGCGCCAAACGATCACACAAAAACTTTTAATACACTGAAATGGTTTATTTAAACAATAATTATCGACTAAAAGACTCGGGGTAAGGGTTTTCGATGAAATTTCAGCGCCTTACTCGCCTAAACTCGACTGGCAGATGTACTGGGCGGCCTACAGCACCTACGACAAGCAGCCGTGGCTGTTGTCGTTGGTTCATAGGCTGCTGACCGGCCGTCCCGAAGTCCTCAACCTCATCGACCAAGCCCATTCGCCGTTCGCCGCCAAGCCGCCCAAGTACATCCGCGCGGTCTTGTACAAGTACAAGTTTACTGCGTGGAGTCACAGGTGAGTTCGCAGAAAGAAAATCGCAACCTTGTAGTGACCATGCCGATCTGGGGGCGAGAAATTCGAAGTAGTTCAAATGGACCAGCGGGCTTTTTCGACGTGGTATGCGGCATTTTCGAGGTCGCGAACAGTAGTTCAAATGTACCGTTAAGATTACTCTAAGAGGTTGTCTTTTCGTCAGGTCCCAGCCTGCGTGGTGGGTAAGGGAGAAGGTGTCCGAGTACTTCCCGGCCTATACGAAAGATTCACCAGCGCTGGTCGACTTTCTGAAAGCGCGAAACCTGCTACCCGCGTCGACGCGTCAAACCGTCAACCCGATATGGAAGCAGGTACTGGACAGCGTCCGCTACGTCTCGGACCATCTGGAGGCCACCCTTCTCTTCTGGTCGGTGTTCACGGCCGGCCTGGCGATCATAGCGACGTCGTCTCCGAGGAGGAACTGAGACGCACCGCGCAGACTGTTCTGATTAAGTTTAAATACATTGGTTATTTGTTTTTTAATTGTGTAAATATAAGTTCAACGTGTGGTTTAAGGGCCCGACAGGTCTCTCTAAAGCACCTTGTTTTCCTCCTTTATTTCTTTCCGTCTTTGTGTTTAACTCTAAACCACTTTTTTTTATATACTACAAATAACGTGTGTTGCCGATTTTTTATTTTAAGTAAGAGGCGTGATTAAAAAAAAATTATCAGTCTACTTTATAGCGTAGAGAATGTGTGTTTCGATGTCTTCGATATTTTTAAACTTTGTCGCTGTACAATAAAATGTCTGAATCAACAGTCTAGATTGTTAATTCCCATTCTAAATAATCCCACGGCTAATAAACTAGTAAAACGACGAAGAGAAACGCGTAACTAGAGTTTAATGCTGCAGTATGACGTATAAGAGCGGTTGGATAACTCGGCCGCGTCATCGAATCGCCCCAACTTTTACGATTTTACAAGTCTACTAGGGACACACGCCCATTGCCGCCGCCATCTACCTCAATGGCTGCCGATCATCATGGCCAGTTGGACGGAGACGAGAGGTCAATTCATGCACGCATCCAGGAAAATGTAGCTGTAGAATATCATAATTTTCAGGATCTCCATTTCTTTACCTCTATGCGGGAAATTTTTTGCACAGGACTGCATACCCCTCACTATTTGACCATACAAAACCACCTATCTCACTTTCCCGGATAGTTACATATCTCGGGCGGTCAGTATCATAAGGATCGTCTTGGTTTGTTCTATTCTCGATAAGATCTCACCTTTGTGTGAGCATATAGGTATTTGGACTGGTAAACTTGCTCAATAGCCTTGTCGTCTATAATTAGTTGACCCCCATTAGTGTTACTTCTTTTGGATACTATTAACGTTTTAGTTTAACAGATGTTTATGTTACTTGTCTTTTTTTCTATTTTATCCGCCACTACGGTAATAATTGATGCGCCTCAGGAGGTCATGATATTTTTGTACGCGAGGATATCGCGCTAACATGCACCCCGCGCCATTTTCTTTCTAAACAGTCATATCCACACACTTAAGTCCTTCAGACTGAAAGATTTAATAAGACCTGGACATATTGTAACAAAACATTGCCGTAATCCATGTTACTGACGATCTGTCAAAGGCCATGTTGCTTGTTGAATGCCGCAAGGTCATTGGTTAAAAACGAGATTCTGATCTCGCGAATACGCATGTTCGCAAAACATTGTTCGTATATTATCAGTATAGACAGGGCTTCTATATATCTCTGGAAGCTACATGTCGCCGATCTATCTTCCGTGCTTCCACCAATATAAACTTAAATAATAAATATTAAACAGCATCGGAGAAAGAACATATCACATTTTTTTCACACAACACATATACTATGACATCATTATTAAACTCCAGAAACAGAATGATTGGCGAAACGTCAGCAAGTTCGACTAAGCAAAAATCGACGCAGGAGAATTCCAGAAGTTTTGTAAAAAGTATTACAGTAGCCTGTGGAAGTTTCTTTGAAAAATTATTAAACTCTGGTTGAATAAACAAAAAGAAGGAAACGCCACACAAATTTGAACGAAACTGGCACCAGCCAAGCCAAAAAAGAAGAGCGAACCGGATGGTGACGTTAGCGTAACCAAAGGTTATTCCGCGCCTGACGGCCCCGTTTTTTGCAAACAACCTGCCGTTTCAAAACAAATCCGGCCGAAACACGTCGGGATCGGGTCAATCGCGGCGGCGGCGAGGAAAAATCCACGGGCGACCATTTCCGATCGGCCAATCACGGATTCTAGCGCTTCACGGCGGCCCCATGGGGGGTGACGTCGGCGCAGGGCCGCCGCGAGCATGGGAAACTGCCTCGCCGGCTGTTTACCCACCTCGGACGCAGCGAGGACGTTGCGCGGCATGCTGTCCAACCCACGGACGGACTTTTCTTACCTCGTGGAAGAGGTGAGAGTCGCGAGACAATTTCGAAGAGCCGTAACTTTATTATGTGTCTCGAATTTTAGCCGAATTCCATCGGACGGACCGAAAAAAGGTAAGCGAAAAGGCGCCCATTTCGCGTGACTAATCTCGTGCATTGACCGGCAGTTTTCTGGCAAGGATCTTGAAACGGAAACCGCGTCGGAAACCGGTGCTCGAAATGGTCGACGGCCTGTTAAATCCGCCGCTCTCTTACAGCCGACTCTCGGAATCGCAAAGGTTACCGTCGACGAGGTACATACTTTCGGCCATCCCCCGTCGGCAGTGGTTTTATGATTATTTTCCAGCTCCTGCGTCAGCAGAGACATACCGCTGCAGTGCTTGGACGCGAGAGCGCTGCTCGACCAAGCCAACACCCCGACGCCGGAAAACTCGCTCGACCTCGAGTGGGAGCATGAAACCCTGCCTCCGTCCGCGTTAAATGACACCTCGCGCAGCTCTTGGTAAGTTTCGGGGCCGAGCGAGGCATAAAAATTGAGCGAGTCGCCGTTTTAAACAGGCAGCAAGACACCTTGCAGGTCGGCGAGGTCGCGGCCAGCGATTCCGATTGGTCCCGCGTGTCTTCCGGTGCGAATTCCCTCGAGTGGGACAACGTCCAGAACTCGATGCACTCGGATCTCGATACGGACACTCAATTTTTGCTAAACGAAATCGATAGGCTCACCATGCGGGCGCTGAGAGAGACCGGCGTCGTTGCTGACGGCGCGAACTACTTGGACGACCAGTTGTAGTGACCGTTTAGTCGCCTTCGATATCCAAAAACACTGTTTAGATAAAAAGAAATATATACGACCAACTGTGTGTAATTACTCGCTTCAACGCGCCCATTTTGGTTACGTTTCTGTGACTGCCATAACGGACGAGACGACCGTTTGCGAAACGGTAAGTCTCGCCCCGATCTCTCGATTTTAGGTGGTCCGTGGTTGTCCGCGCGGTGACGTAATTGGCGAGTTAGTGAAATTGAATGTTGACCTGTAACATTAGCGAATAATTTTAATATTATATAAGACTGTTATCCCATCGTCGAGGAAGAGATATTTTTTAAAAAAATAACCTAGCGTTTGAAGTAGCCGGCCTAACCGTGTTGTGTTTCGGGCACCTTTCTCGGCTAGATTTTTAACGAACCGTTAAGTTTACCGCTTTAAATTCACCCAACATCGTTAATTTTAACTTTGTTATGTCCAACTGCAACATATCATCGGCAAAAATAAAAAAACTGTCAGAGTAAAGCCTCGCGTATTTTTTCCACGCTTTCATTCCACAGTTAATAATACTTGGTTGGTATTGTTACTGGAATTAATATAATAGGAATTTATGAAGCAACGTGAGAATAAGTTTACATGCTACATTTTTACGGTAGCAAAAAGAGTTCAGCTGTGGAGAGGGTTGTTGAAAAAATGCCGCCATTTCGTGAAAGAGCATTGAAAGTAGAAATTATATAAAATCTTTTAAATTAACTTTAACTGCCTTAATGGTTTTGACTGCAAACAACTTTTCCAGCAGGTGGACATTTTTGTCACAAAAACAGGAAAAATTTCCGGAGATACCATCAAACTGCAACAATGAAAACAATGATACGAATTGCTGGTATTCTGTGACAGTGGCAACAATTTGACCGAGCGTTGCCAATGCCGTCGGGATTTAAGAGAACGATATTGGTTTCTTATAAAAATAAATCAATTTTCCAGATAAATGTCGGAACTCAATCAGTTGCGGCGACCATACAGATATAGATATTAGATAATATAGCGGTCCTACTATATTTTTGTAGTGAATGAGTTTCCGACCATGCCCCTACATTTCACGCACTAACCTGCATTTTGCGCCATTTCCTTTTTAAACAGTGGTCTGCGCATACTTAATTCGTTTTCCTAGAAGATTTAATGAGATCTAAGAAAATACTGCCTTATTGACGTTCTGTCAGCGGCCATATTGGTCGAATTGAAGTCTCGCGCAAACGGATTTTGAATGGACCTTCTCAATTTTTTTTTCATAGTTGCTTCATAAGTTCATGTATTATCAGCATAGTCAGGTTTTCAGTATCTCTAGTAGAGGTATATGGGGCCGACGCATGCGCGGAAGAATATTCCCAACTCAAAATAGCCATACGTAGCGGTGCGATGGGGCAAAAAAAGCAAACGCTTCGACGATGTAAACATTGATTTTATTGACATAGTGATACATTATCGTGACGGTTTGACAGTTAAAAGGATCGAAAGATTGTTCCCGATACAAAAGTAATGCGCGGGAATTTATTGATTGCTCTCGATATGTCTCGCGCGTAAAACGAAGAGGTTATAGACGACAGAACATTAAACCCGTCCCGACGACATCTCAAAGTATACGCTATGGTATTATTATCAGCTAAAATTGGTTCCAGTATCATTTGTTTTAAATCTTTCCAAAAGATTTTGGTGTTTTCGTGTTCAAAATGGCCGCTCGAAAAAAATACAATATTAATATATATATTGTTTTACATTATCACACAGTTAACATAAATATATTCCCTTAAAACTATACGCCCGACGTTCGGTACTCTGATTGACCAAGTTTTGATTAGGGCATAATATTTTGAGCGTTGCTCTTCTTCTGACGGGGGCCTCGAAACGCGCCCGCCCCTAAAATATCACTGTAAAACGCAAGCCCGGTCGCCGTTCGCCCGCCGCCACTGCAACGGCGAACTGTTGGTACCGCCCCCGTCACCCAAATTATACGCTTTAGTCCTCATTATCATGAGATCGGTCCGTATACTAGGCCTGCGCACGTTAGGTGTCACGACACCGCACGCGTCACTCAAACGCCGCTTCACCGAGAGATGGTACTTCTTGGAGTAGTGCGAGGGCGTCGAGGGTGGCAGGGGACACGGCGCGCCGAAGCTCGCGCTCACCTAGAACCAACACAACCGCTTCTGAGGTGATTTTGCGACGACCGGTATACAGCGCCCTAATACTCGCGAATACGTCACAACACCCACATATATGTACCGCCTAGAAAAGGAGCAGCGTTACAACAGAACGTAGTGTTTAGAAGCAGATCTCCATGACACTAGAGAAGAAGAAACAAAACGTCATAGAGCAGACTATAAAAGAGGACAAAGAACATTAATAAATCGTATAATGTTTATCAGTGTCGGCCGTCGATCAAGTGTCCATGTACGGTGTTGTGGACTACATCGAATTAATAACAGTAACAATAATAATAATAATAATAATAATAATAATAATAATAATAAAAGGAAAACACCCATGAAAACAATATCTTGCGACATCTATAGAAAAGTTTACTCACCTAACTGGGTTTTAGTTCTTCTGTTTTAACAAATTCAAATTATTAGATCTACGAATTCTATATATATTGCGTCGCTAACAATAATTATTCTTAGCGGCCCGAAAACGAAAGGTTAGGGTCGCGAGGGTAGCCAGACTTACCCGCTTGTGGTGGTTGGGCGCCATCTCTTGCGGCAGATTCGCCACGGAGAATAACCGGTAGAACACCTCGTCGACCTGGTGGTTTTTCTTGGCCGACGTCTCGACGAATGCGCAGCACGAGTCCTGCGTGTCGCAGTAGGCCTGCGCCTCGTCCACGCTGACAGTCCTACGTTTTGGCGCCAATGCGAAAACGAATCGCATTACGTATCGATAATATTCTTGATGGTTTCGATATCATATCGACTATTTACGTTGGTGTCGAAATCTGTCTTTCATTTCGCCATATCGACTTCGTCAATACCGTCATAAGTTACAAGATTATTTTTCGAACATTAGATAAATTTTTGTGATATCAATAGTGTAGATATCGCAGCGACTAAATAAAAATATTGCTCAGAAATTTTCCGATCCAAGAATTTAGCCTTAGCGGCATTATCGATACGGTATTGATACTATCGATAACTTAATAACTCGCCAGGTTTTCACTCAGACAAGTGAGTTTTCGAAAATACGCCAAAATTTTGTGATATCGATAGGGTCGATGTCGCATCGACGATTAGCGTTGGCGCATAAATGATTTTATTGCTCGGAAAACGTTCTTTTTAAAAATTCATCTTTATCGACATTATCGATATGGTAATGATACTATCGATAACTTAATAACTCACAAATTTTTCACTCAAACAAGTTATTTTTCGAAAATTCGTCAAAATTTTCAGATATGGATGGTCGATGTTGCATCGACCATTAGCGTTAACGCATAAATTATTTTATTGCTCGGAAATCTTGCTATTTGAGAATTTAACTTTATCGACAACATCGATACGGTATTCATACTACCGATAACTTAATAACCTACAAGTTATTTTTCGAAAATTCGTCAAAATGTTGTGATATCGATAGTGACGATGTCGAATCGACGATTAACCTTGGCACATAAATGATTTCATTGCTCGGAAAACTTTCTATTTAAGAATTCAGCTTTATCGACATTATCGATACGGAATTGATACTATCGGTATCTTAATAACTCACCCAGTTTATCATTCAAAACAGTTATTTTTCGAAAATTCGTCAAATTTTGCCATATGTGCTATTAACGCATAAATTATTTTATTGCTCGGAAATCTTCGTATTCAAGAATTTAGCTATCTCGACATTATCGATCCATGTTTATATACTAATGATAACTTATTAACTTACAAATTCTTTATTTCGACAAGATATTTTTAGAAAATTCTTCAAAAGTCTGCGATATCGAGTGTCGATGTCGTATTTCTATCGATAACTTAATAAGTTTTTTACTTAGGGAAGTTATGTTTCGATATCGATACGAAATCGACTGTTTAGGTTCCTGTCTAAATATCTTTAATATTCCAGTAGCATGGAGTGCGGGCGATTAATTTGTATCGATAACTGGATAAAGGGATTCAACGAACAGGCTTTAGAGACGACGCTTTCGCAACAGAAACAACAACCGCGCTGGCAAAAAAGCAAAAAGAAAACGCCCGTGTTTCCGATCTAATAAAAATTCAGCGCGGGACTCGCGCGGAAAGGAAACTTTCAATGAAGAAACGAGACGCAAAGGCAAAAGCCCGCATCCGGAATACGTAATCAGGTTGAGAAATGAAAGGATGTTTTTTGCGGCGTATCGAGCCTCGCAAATTGACGGAAAGCCGCTTCGATCGCGGGACGTTTGATATTCTCTTTCGCGGAATTCGTGGCCAGGATTTGCGGCGAAGCTCTTACTTCATCTCCTTGTCGTTCTTGTTACCGGCGAATATCATCGGTATGCGCGGTTGGATCTTCTTCCTCGTCAGGCCGCTCGCGTTCGAAGACGTGCCGGCGTTCACTTTCGTCTCGATTATTTGCTCTCTGAGGCGTATTGCCTCCTCGAACGTCTCCCTGCTGTCCATGCTGAACACAATGACGAATAGGTCGCCTGAAACGGTCCGGTTCAAAAACGCATGTATGTAAATACGCGCGCGCGTTAGACGATGTCGTAAGAGTCTGAACGTCGATCCCGAGTTCCCCGGTTCGCGTCCGAGACGGTCGCCGCGCTTTTTTCCGCAAAAAATTCGTAGTTTTCCAAAAAATCGGCGGATTTTTATCGGAAAAAACGTCGATAGGGTGGTTGACAGATTTAATCTGGGACTAGGGGGTTTGTGTTAACGGTAGATTTAACATACATCGGCGGCGTTGTGGATATGCCCGAACATCTCAGCGCTGTGCGAGAGTACACGGGATAAAAAAATCGATGACCCACATGAATGGAGTGTCGAAAACGAATAGACCAGGGGCGCGCGTCAACCGAAGCGTGCGGTGAATTTTAATCGGGGGGTTTCGAGGCCGACATTATTCCCCTCTCGCCGCGTGGGTTCGCGATCCGGCGGCGCAGGCGGGTGGACAATGGTCGATCATGTCCGCTGGGTAATTGGTGACGTGTCGATGCCCGATTGTTATCGCGCGTAATGATGCCCGTCTCGCAACCAATTAACCGACCTCCCGGGGGGCGGCCGGATCCCCGATCGACCCACGGTATGCATTTTTAATGGTGTCGTTGCGGTATTTTTTTCGCCCGCGACGCGGGCCGCTCCGCCTCTGGACTCGTAACACATTTCTCGTTAATTAATGTAGGAGGACGCGCGCTCCGAAATCGAGTTACCGCCGGTTTAATTTACGGTCCCGCTTTCGCGAGGGCGTCGCGGCGGGCTCTCGAAACGACGCCCGGGCGTCCCATTTCTTTTGTGTGGCGGTCGCGAGGCGCGCTGACGTCACGACCGCGAAACCGTACCCGTAAGAAAGGACAGGCGCCTCATCGCCGGAAACGGGTGGTTCCCGGACGTGTCGAGGATGTCGAGCTGGTAGATCTCGCCCCTGATGCGGTACAGCTTTCGGTGGAAGTCCTCTATGGTCGGCGTGTAGCTGTCGTGGAACTTGCCGCCAAGGAACCTCGACACCAGGCAGGTCTTACCGACCCTGGCCGAACCTACCGAAAACGGACGTTTGTAAAACGTCTGTGTCGGTTGTTGTTGAATCGAACTTAATGACATTGCGCCAATTATCATCTGCTCTGGAGAATCCAACAGGATGATTAGCCAAACCTCTACAAGTTCAATTCAACAACTACCGACGGGTGAATTTCGGAGTTTTGTAAATATGAGATGAGACCAAAAGTCCTTGGTGTTGGTATTTGATCCAAATGTAATAGCCCGGATATGGGCGAATGATTCTATTAGTCGCACCCGAAAGAACAAACAAATAACGTAACTATCGTCAATTTTAACATGATTTCCCAGATTTAGCCGGTAAATCGCGAAGCTCACCTAGCACGACTAGCCGGTAGCAGTTCTTGGACGGCGGGATGACGTCATCGCACGAACTAGAACTGGCCGGACTCGGTCCCGGACCCGACGTGACCACGGAGTGGTACTCGGACGCGTTGTGGTTAGGCACGGTCTTCTCTTCTTCCTTTTTGGAGCACAACCAACTTGCGCACGAGCCTAGGTTCATTTTGAAGCGGCGCTGCTCGCTCGGACATCACCGGCTGATTTGCACTGCGATTTCGTCTCGGTTATATATGTTATATGTATAATAAGGATACCGTAGCCGATTTAACGCTGTCCGCGGAGAGTTTAGGGTTATTACTAGTTTAGCGTAGAGTCGGGGAATGAAGCGGCAGCCTAGGGAGGAAATCCGAATGGAATTCAATCTTGCTATCGCAAAATCCGCGCTTATTTTCTCGTAATTACATGTTTGCCAACTTTTATCCTGCAAATTTATAGTCGCACCCCGTATTATTGGCGTTCCGCTTTCATTTTGAATGCGAAAAATGTCGCGACAGCCCCAGGAGCGTACTTCGAGAGAAACGGTATATAAATTTGGAAGCCACGGAAAAAACGAAATAAATTCCGTCACTTACCATTTATGGCGAAACGGTTTAGCGTGTGTTTATCGCGATCTCGTCGACAGCATCAGTACGATCTAAATCGTCCGGCGACTACGCGCTGCTCCGGCGTTCCGACGTCCGCGTCGCGATTGATACACTGCCGAACCACGAAATTTTTCGTGCTGATCTGCCGCGAGAAATCGATTTTCGGCGCGCCGCGGGCGACTCTGCCGTCGCGGTAACAAGCCGACGAGGCCAAACGCCGCGCGCGGAAAAGAAGAAGCACCAAGCACAGATGCGACGGCTCCGCCGTTACTAACCGATGGCCGTTATCCGTGACGCGAAAGGGCAAGAGGCGAACGGCCGTTTGTTGACATCATCTGAATGTCGCAGAATCGGTGAGGTTGTTTGGAGTCTCGTTTGGTTTAGGCGGGGATGTTTGTTTTTTCGAATAATCGCGTCCGTATCGCCCGGAAATAAAAACCTCCTCGATCGCGTTTCTGCTTCGCTCCCGTCGGCGAATGAAAGTGACGCGGGTTTAAAGGTCACCGCGCCGTGACGTCGGCTTTCGATTCAAATTAAAGCCGACCGTATTGTGTGTGCGAAATGACGCAAACCGCGTGACGTGTTATCGTCGGAAAGAAATCCAGAGCAGTTGCGGTAGGTTGCTCGACCGACGGTGCCGCAATTGTCGAGAATTCTCGCGAGATGACCCCTCTGAATGAGGACGCGGGCAGGAAGCGGAGCCCCGCCGACTTCTTCTTTGGCAAAGTGATCGGCGAGGGCAGTTTTAGCACCGTGTACCTCGCCAAAGATGTCCACACCAGCAGGGAATTCGCGAGTGAGTGTTTGACACGCCATGGTACCGTGTCGGTTCTAGTTCGTTTTTGTTTGCCTCGTTTAGCGCGTTATCTCTCGTTATTGTTTCAGTCAAGGTATTAGAAAAGGCCCACATCATCAGGGAAAAGAAAACCGAGTACGTCATGCGAGAGAAGGAGGTGTTGCGGATCCTGGGCAGTTCGTGTTCATATTTCGTGCATTTGTACAGTACGTTCCAGGACCGCGAGCGGCTGTATTTTGTGCTGACTTACGCCAAAAACGGCGAACTTCTCAAACACATTAACCACCATAAAAAATTTAATTTCGAATGCACGAGATACTACGCGGCCGAGCTGGTCCTCGCCCTGGAGTATTTGCGCTCCAAGGGCATCGTCCATCGCGACCTGAAGCCCGAGAACATCCTGTTCGACGAGAACTTCCACCTGTTGGTGACCGATTTCGGCAGCGCGAAGATCGAGAGGTCGGAGGAGGCGGGCGATGACGGTGAGGGCTCCGCGTGTCGCGTTCTTAGACTAGAATGTAGCCGTTGCAGCAGAGAAAAGTCTGCAGCGCAGGCGCAGTTTCGTTGGCACGGCCCAATTCGTCAGCCCCGAGATGCTCAAGGACTCGACGTCCTCGTACCCGTCCGATCTGTGGGCGCTCGGCTGCATTGTTTTCCAGATGGCGGCCGGCGAGATGCCGTTCACGGGCCCCACCGACTATCTAATTTTCGCCAAGGTCGAAAATCTGGACTATGTGTTCCCCGACGGCTTCGACGAGAGAGTAAAAGACTTCGTAGAGAAATTGCTAGTTTTAGAGCCTAACAGAAGACTGGGTAAGGGAATCCGGGGCCCCGGAATTACTATTTGCATAATCATGAGTGATTAGGTGGGGACCCCTGCTGGGGCAGGTGCTGGACTTGTTGCCTTTTCCAGGTGCTTTGGACGCGGTTCCCTATACAAGCCTCCGGGAGCACCAAATATTCGCCGGCCTCGACTGGGACGATTTGGGGCCACCTCCAAAGCTCTCCGACGCGTCGTACATCATAGAGGAGCCGGGGGGCGCGGTGCCCGACCACATGGAGCCTGGTTTGGACTCTGAAAAAGTGTCGAAGTAGACGTTCGCCCCCCCCCCCCCAACGATCTCTCATCCTCAACCCTGCCCTTTTTAGGTTAGTTTTGACGGACATGATTCCCGCGCTCAAAAAATCCGAGCCGGGCCGCAAAATAACCGACCTCAGCCCCGAGGAGATCGAGAAAAGACTGCTGCTCCAAGCGACGAACGCTTACAACGATTTCGTCGGGGGCCATCTCATCCTGAAGCAGGGTTTATTGGGTAAGGGTGTTCTTTGGGTTATGTCGCAACGCGTCCGTTTCGCCGGTTGCAGATAAGCGAAAAGGCCTGTTTCCGAGGCGGCGGATGTTCCTTTTAACGCTGGGGCCCCACTTGTACTACGTCGACCCCGTCACGATGACGCTAAAGGGCGAGATACCGTGGAGCGAGGATCTCAAGACGGAGGCGCGAAATTTCAAGACGTTTTTCGTTCACACGGTGAGTCGCGCGCATCGAGCGGGCCGTGAATTTGTCGTTTGTCGCTTGTTTCAGCCGAAGCGCAAGTACTACCTCGAAGATCCGGAAGGCTACGCCCCGGAATGGTGCAAGGCGATCGAGCAGGTCAAGGAGCACTATTTCCCCCCGGGACAAAAATTAGCCTAGTTCAAATTTGTTATATTTCGAACGTTTTCGTTTTTACTAGCGTGAATTTTACATTTCTTTTCCTTTCGAATAAAAACGTACTCCCTCCCCCCCCAAAAAAAAAACTGGTGTTTTATTCGCGCAGAGGTTGGTACCTTCGCGTCACGTATGTCAATTATCGTCGACAGGCAACATGGCGGGCATGTCCGTCGAATGTTGTGACATCTGAGCGGATTTTGGTTTGTTTTTGTCGCGCGACGCGTGTTTTTCGTGCGATTTTTCGTGACTGACGCCCCCCGATACAGTTTACGTGACTACCATGGACGGATCGCTGACGAGGTAAGCGCGATTAGCCGGTGACGGCGTCCGTTACGTGCGATTTATTTTTACTCGCCCACGGTTTTTCCGCCACATGACAATTTCATTGGTCCTGCGACGGCAAATCTCGTCTCCGCGGGGCCACGGGCCCCGCCCGGCGCTTTGCCGCTTCGGAAACTCGAGCTAGGATCCGCCGGCGGCTCTCGGGTGACGCGAACTCGCAGGACCCGCGGTTGTTTCTTGCGGCGGGGGATCCGCGACAACGGAGGGTCGATATCGGCGCGCCGGGCACCCCCGAAACGGGGTCTAAAATTAGCCCGGCGTACGTTCCATTGTGTACGCGTCTGGAATTAATTATCTCTTTCTACCCCCGGGTTGATTGTTATTCCGATATAATGAGCTCAGATTGCGGCTATGTGGGCGCCGGGAATAATTGTAAACAGGTTGCGCGAGTTTTACATAAACAAAGCCGATCGGATGAGTAAACAACGATATACAGGACGTCTCGACGTTTCGTTCGCATGCCTGCAATCGTCGTTGCTTATGATAGACAGGGGTTTGGTTAGGTTTCGACGCTGTTTTGTAGGAATCTTCTTCTTTTCCTCTCGCTGGCCCGTTGTCTCGAGCGCTTTTCAAGCCTTCCGGTTCGATCGCGACAAACGGTTATTTTATATTCGTTGACATTTCACAGACAATTGAAGTAGACGATTACAAATCGATAGTGATTTTAAGCGGAACAACGAGTTTAAAATTCGTTGTCTTTTATATTCGATTTGGATGGGAATCTGGTATACAATTGTGCGCAAATTGTCTATTTGGTTTTGTAATTTAATACATTAACCTCGAGGTACGATCTGGTTTTGCAGTTATTCTGTTGTCCATGGACTAAATTTAGTTTGGCGATTTGTTCAACAACAGATTTTTTACTGGAATGTCATCGAAAGTTAGGTTTTAAGTTGATATTTGCAGGTTTGCAATGTAATGCAATCTTGGGAGCGTGTTAATGCGTTACGGACGCGTAATTCGGTGGACAGCCGGTACGTTGTTTTCTATAATTACCTCACGTTAAAGTACCCACGACTACAGAACCAGCGCGCGTAGTACCTTGAACTTGTTTCTCCTTTTCGAGTGGCATTTGAAACGCGGAGCAAAACAGAGAAAAAACAATAAAAGAAAACGCGGCGCACAGATGTTCGACTGTTTTTGCCTCGCCTACCGAGCGAAGCAGATGGATCCTTTTGTTATCGATGCGTGTGTGACGGGAATGCGAAAAATTCGCCGGCGAGCGGAGTTTTCGGAAGAAAAATGCGTCTAGAGCATATGTACAGGGTGGCCCTAGCCCCTTGACTTAGAACGATAGAAAAAAAAGTTAAATGGAAAAGTTACACTAGTTTCATCTTAATTTTTTAATTTTTAATTTTTCATGTATACCAGGTGTTGAGTTTCTGGAGTAAATACCATCGTTCCAATTTTAAATAGAAATTCTAGATATATTTTCATGTATAACATTCTATGACCTAAGTCTAACCATTTTTAGAATATTTTTTCGATAAGGGAGTCTTAATTAAAATAAAAAGTAATATAGGATGAGTAAAACTAAAATACAGAAATGTAATTATAAAAAAGGTAGTCTTTTTTTTTTTTAAGGGAAACCGCCTATTTTTATATTTAATCCCATTGGACATTAAAAACTAATATAGGGTTGTATTTGAAATAAGAAAGCTGATATTTACCCCAGTGAGTTAGAAAACCTATATGACGCTATGCAACTTTTTAGGAACCTTATTTAGGACACCCTGTACAGAGTGATTCGCCGTTAGGGAACTGTTTCAAATCGTTATTTAGCGCAATTTCGAGAAATTGTTTTGCATTAAATCGAAAATATTTCCAAATTATACGGGCTGTCGGAGTAATTGTTTCTAAATTTTAATGCGATGTTGCCAAGTTATATTTCAAAAAATATGCTTTCCTATGTATAATATAAAAAATGGACCTTAGAATTCGGTAAAGCGCCTCTCATTTCTTAACACCGGAATGTACCTATTTCATCGTTGTATTTGTCGTTTAAGGTCCATTTTTTATATTATAGAGGACTCTAATGGGAGAATAAGAAAACATGTTATTTCAAATAGTTTATCTTTTTCATAATATGCAAAAATATATTTTGCATATTATGCAAAAATGTTTCTATAATTGTGTACTTTATCTTTACCCTAACTGAGCTCTTTAATTTATATTGATATTTAAAAATTGAAATTTGTGTTTAATAGGCATAAAATTAACCGGAACGTAAATCCTCCAGTTACCAGCAACGAACGAGTCGGGCAAGCTCTAAGATGGCTGTTCTGTATACTGCCTACGGGTTCACCAGTCAGTGGGATAGGCGCGAATGCTTATCACTCTTGGACGAGAAGATATGCACTGCAACGTCCTGAACCGAGCTAACTTGAAGACTTGACGAATTCTTGATTTGCAGAATTCATAACACGTGCCGTCCACGAAGTAAGGAGGCACCAAATTCAATTGAACCGGAACTAGGGAAGCCAGTACCAAATGGGAAGCCAAAACCAGTCCAACAATCAAAAACTGGTTCCAAAAGAAAAACCAACCAAAACCAAAACCCTACAAAACAAAATAATGAGTTGAGGTGTTCATAATTACTTGCAAAGCGTGAAATAAATTGTGAAACTTACGCCTGATGATCGTGGGTGGCGGTGAAGAGTGCCAGGTGCTAGGTTGGTTAGCTTTAATCCAGCCTGAGCTGTAATGTTGGGGACGTCCAAGCAAAATACTACCAACAAGACGACGATCCGCAACTTCTATACGATTTCAATCCTGTTTAATCCTCGAAAACTACGAGATGCCACAAACTTATTAGCAACCACTTGCACCGGCGGAAATCGTAAAGCCAAAGAAAGAAAGACCGATGAAGTTTTACAAAGTTCCAAAAAAAGACCGATGGTGCTGGCAATACGATGTTCGGTTCCAACGCCACTAGGGTCAATGGGCCAATAATGACAGGAGTTAATCAACGCAAGGAGACCAAATAATACCTAACTACTACCCGCTATTACCAATAATAACCAATTATTACACACACGTGAATGAGATTACACAGTAACGTCTTGGGAAATCGAAGACGAACGTGGGCCAAAGGTCGAGTGCTTAACTGTACTAATGGCCGGGTGCATTCGCGTTGACAGAGGATTGAAATATAACCTCTCCAAAAAGCAACAAGTGTAAATAAATGAAAGCAAGGGACAAGAATAGAAATTGCCGTTAGTTCGGAAATAAGAAGGAATACAGGACGATCGTCTAGTGCGATCCAACCGCATTCCGCCGTAACATCTTAAATTGCAGCAAAAATGCAAGGACTTACACTTATTTACATTTATTTTAGAACAGGCAAACCACACCAAGCAATTAAGCAGTTACAGTGTGTTCGAACAGAATGAAGTAGTGAAGAATAATTAGCAATACCAGTAGCTTTGAGGATTAAGACAGTGAGTAATTGTGAGAATAAAACATTTAATAGGTAGTCTCCGAGCATTATTAACCTACATGTGAGAAACATAATTCGAAGTAGTCAATGACAAATTGAACCCGTTACAATAAGCCTCGATATAAAGTCGTCGTGCTTGATTTGCATTTCCAATTGGTCTTCCGTAGCAAGAATGCATATCGCGATAGTCAGTATTTGAATATTCCTGATGGGCCGTCACAGTAGCCGTTGGATAAGCTCTTTTAATAGAAACTAATTTAAATTTAAAAAAATGAATTTTGACAAGCTACTCGTAATATTACGATTTCCAATTTTTGTTGCTTATATTGTGCGTTACGTCGCCGTCGCGTCGTTCTGAGACCTAAATGGAGTCGATATTTTTATTGGGACTCCCCGAATCGCCAATCGTATTCGGGTTAGTAGTAATTATAAAATACATATTATTTTTAAATAATAATAGATAAGATTTAAAACATTTTAATAGGTTTTGAGAAGTGGTAAATTGACCACACATTCTACCGTCAAGGCGGGGAAACGTCGAGCGGAACGGCAACAGTGTGCGACGCGCCCGGTAACAAATAGTGACAGGTGTGGGTGTGTGTGTTTGTGTCGCGCGGGAGCGCTATTCAAGTGCCAAATAAACTAGTTTGGCTTAATAATGTGGCGATTCTTTTTGAATCTCTGACAAACAACGTTTTAAAAATAGAGTTTGAAACGCCGCGACTTCCGACGCTTATTTAAAATCGGACGTTTTCGTCCTCTCCATTTTTTATTTGAATTCTTCTTTATTTTCATCGGTTCCTTTCGATGCGAAAGAAATCAAACGAAAATCGACAACGCCGCGGTTTTTTTCATCCGGCGTCTCCAGGAATCGTAGGAGAAGCGGCAACGTCGTCGCGTTGCGTAACCGGTTGATTTTTTAAGTTATTTTCTTTGTGTACCCACGTTCCGGGAAATGGCGCGCGAACCGGCAACGCCGTTCGTTTTTTTTCTGTTTCGCATGTAGAAAAATACGGGGCGCGAGGAATTCTCGGCGCCGGCAACGTCGCTCACGTCCGTTGCATCGGCGTCCCCCGCTCGCCTCCTCCGAGTCGTTTTTCTCGGCGTCGCTCTCGGCGCCGCGACGCCTTCAGTAAGTCGCGTCTGACCGAAGCGACGTCTGTCGAACCACCTTCTCAGTGCATTCCACTCGGAACGAGCGCGCACTACGGCCACCTCGCCCACCGGATTCGAACCCCTCGGACTTTTTGGTTGCCCCGCTGCCCCCGAAATGTACCGGGTGATCGTGGCCGCGTTACGATGCGA